GCTTCACATCATGCTAAAGACGCATTGAGATCCGGTTCTGATTGACCCACTTCCGGTTGTTGTTTGGCTCATGTTTGTCTTGTTTAGAGACTCTCTTTGGTGTTGTTAAATGTGAGATTTATTCTCTGTCCATATTGCCACCGACGGCGTTGGCACGAATGTTGCAAATTCACTGCACCAGAAGCATTCTAATAGTGGCCCACAAGGTGAGGTGTGAAGCCCCAAAAACGGCGAACACCGCGAGTGGTGAAAATGCACCCGGGCCAAGAGGTTAATCATTAAGTCTCGAAAAATATGAGATACACTCGCCTCAATTCCTTATTGGCCGCGGCCGCGGAATTTTCATACTCACTGGCCTGTTGTTTCTCTTTTTGTTTAATGTTTTGTGTGCACCTTTTTGGGCTGTCTTCCTACATCTCTTTTTCGTACACTCTTCCAACTATTTGGGAAATGTGTCAAATATTCCGTCATTGTCTGATTCGCATCGCAATCGACCGCGAAAGAGTGGTAATGCTTTTTGAATGTGATGGAAGTGTGTGTTTTTTCTCCCTCATTATTCATGTGCTTCATGCTCTTTGGCAGGAGAGCAGATATCTCCAAAATTTCCATTGGCAGTCGCAACACGGAGTTTTTTTGGCTGACGCGATGAAGAGACTTGGGGCACCGCAACATAGAAAATCACAGAAGGGGAAAATGGTGGATTAAACAGCGATTTCTTCGCCTATTGCACACCACATATTTTCCCCGGCCGTAGCTTTGGCATTAAAATGACAGTGGCAATGGTGCGCAATAATATCAGGTGTGGAGAGGCAAAAATTAACTTCTTATGGCAACTTTCTCCCAAGGTCATTTCACGATTCAATCGTCAGTCCCACCATGTTGACGATTTTCTTCTTGCTATTTTATTGTGGCATATCCAAACACTATCGACAATTTTATTGATCAAACTCGCTGATTGTCACACGAAGAGGAACAGATGTGAAATGGTGTTTTCAAATACACTTGGATTTTTGAAGTCTTGAAGCAGTCGATGAAGCTTCAATTCTCTACGGAGTAGGAAAACATGAAATATTAATCATTACTTAGCTTTAACAAAATATTGAGCGGTCTGCTAAGCATTTTGTCATCGCTTTTATACGATTTTTACTTCACCAGCGACTTTTCCACACAGCACCAAATTGAGATCTCTCTCTGATGAAAAAGACGCAAAGCTGTGACAATGGGGAAGACGCGGTGAGGCATTGATTGAGTTTTCAGTATCAATAAAAATCAAATAAATCAATTCCTCACGCTATGCGACATGTTTACAACTCTTGGAACTTGCTTGAGTGTCTTCTGTCGAAAATGTCTCGCTGAAGAGCGCAACATTTGAGCCATCTTTCACTCCAAGTGGCCACGCAGAGTCCTCAAGTGTGCAAATAATCGAAATTGCAATTGCCCAGGACCACATGTTGGACAGAAAACTCCGTGACACTGCACGACCGCGTGTGTGTGCAAATAATCATTGACCTTTCTCGCCGCTAATTCCCCTCAATGGGCCAAGTTCAAGGATGGGAAGCGCGGAGAGCGCGCAATCTGCAGATGTTTCGCCTTGGAGCGGGAGAACAATGCAGCAACTGCCGAGATAAAGGTCACCGTGCAGAGGCGTGTGTCTCATTGACCTAGAGACAGTGTGGCTGGCAGAGACATTTTGCGATGTGATCTGTTCCCTCGAAAAAACGCCGCATGAATAGGCAGAACGGCTCATTTTCACATGAGCCAGGTGAATCAAATTCCCTCAATTTATTCCACGTCTGCGAGCCACCCAGAAATCTCTCATAATCATGCGGTACAATGAGCAATTATGCTCCCGGTGATGACACTTTTGCGGCTGGTCGGCTGGGTTGCTCGTGAGGAATTTTCGTCTATATGCTGGGAATGTGGCATAAGAAAATTGATGGAGCGATAACATAATGTGCAGCAGCTTTAATTGCTATACACCACGCCGCCGAACAACATCCATTGTGTATTGAGGTAGTGAATGGTTTTTTATGCTCCTCACACTTTGTATAATTTTTACACAATGTACAATAACTATGTAAAGTATTTATTTATAATTAATGTATCATATTGCCATCGGATTACCCCATTAATCCATTTTAATTTCTTATGTATTGTGCCTGGGGAAGTGCTTTTTTCCGTGCATTCTTGGGAGAAAGTATATTTGTGTCTCCTGCACTGTGCATGATTTACTGTTGGCTCCACTTTCCTCACACCACATGTGGACCATGCGGCGAAAATGTGTGTGAAAATGCTCGGCTTTTTTGACCAGTTTTCACTTGCGAAAAATTGCGTGTGAGATTTTCTGTCTGGCCACAAAATCAGCAAATGAATTTTGGTGAAAGAAATGGAAACTGGAGCATCTCTTTTTTTTCTTTTTCAAAAGAAAAATATTAAATTGCTCTTTTGTGCAGCTCAGGCTGACTTTCCGCCAGTATTTTTTAATTTAATTTTCAGTGTCATGGAGTATAAAATCGAGAATGCAAATCCGCCAGGATTCTTTGTAGGTTTCAATTTGAATTTTACATAACGGAAATCTTCACAGTAACTGCAAAGATTTTCGCATACTCATTCCCAAGCCAAATTAAAACATTTTACAGGAAATAAATCACATTTAACAGCATACTCAATTGCTTATTACAGAGTGAAGAACAATCTGATGAAACATATCCATAAATCACAAGAGTGACGGCAGCATGAAATCCTCAAATCTCCTCATATCAGTAAAGTTCTTGACTTCTGGATCGCTCTCTATGGCCATGATGCAATTCGTCACGAGTCGTAATAGTTGGGCGCGATTCCCAGCGATAAATTGATTCTTCAGAACACAGAGAAAAAAAGCGGCACAAGATGCCATCAATAATCATTAAAGATCGCGTATTGAGAGCTCTATCGGATCATCAGATGAAATCCTCACTGGTCAAATAATTAATCCCGCAGCAATTCTGGGCAATTTGGCACGATGATGGAGAAGAAAAGAATTAATCAGGCGGCCAGAGAATCGGGGGAATCCGATCGGAGGAAGATCGAGAAGATGTGCATGGAAAAAAAGAGTGTTGAAAAGTGGGACATGGCATTTGCTGATTGCCGGCGGAATTTTCTTGTTGGCCTCAAGCGCTCTGTTGTTGTGCACATATGCCAAATAATGATTGTGTCAAATTATATTCAAAATGATGAATTTACAGTTCTCTCCGTGCCACTGGAAGCCCCAACTAAATTACCTGCGTGGACTCTTTAAATTTCTCACATGGGTCAAAATGTCTGTTTACATCAGGTAGAAAATTAATTATTATGACAAGCCAAGAGGATGTCGCCTTATTTACAACACTCAGCCACACATTATTGCTTATCGTCGTTGATATATTTGAATTTTGCTGCCTCGCTCTTGCAAATTATCCCGTCAATTCTCCACACATCGAGGCAAAACCCCATGCAAAAGTATGGCAAAGAAGAGCAAAAAGGGGAATTCGAAGAGATTTTTCGTTAGTTTGTGTGCCACTTTTTCAATTGCCAATTGATCTTTTCTGCTGCTCCATCGCATGGATTCGCGAAACTTCCTTCCGTGTCTCTTCACTGAGCGAGCCAAGATGGCGAGGAGAATAATTGAGCAGCTTTTATTCCAGCGTCTGAAGAGTTAATTTGCGTGTATATCAATTGGAATTCTCCTATTCGGCGACAACGTGCAAATGGTCTGAATTTTCCTTTTTAGCCATTTTCATCTTCAACCAAACAAACATCGACTTTCTCATTGACTGCCTTTGCATAATAATGCGTCTTCTCACACAAACTGGCTTCGCTGGCTAAATATAAAAAGACGAACGAGACACACATTCATGACAGACACTCAAATATGGGGCATGTAATTTCATAGATATTAATATTAATATTTATAATGAGTGAAATTATATTATACGCATTTTTAATCGAAAACACAGATCGCTGCAGTGTAAAAAAGGCAACATTCGAATAAAAAATTTATATCTTGTCCTGTCATATAAATAATAGTAACTGTTCAGAGTGTAGTGAATCGAGTATTGAAATGAGTCAATTTCCAAACAAATAAAACAAGATTGACTTCATTGGAATTGCCCCGCGATCCGTGATCGCCAATATGCAAATCAACTCACAAATTGCATTTAAATTATTCCCCTAATGCGAATTAAGGAGATCAATTTGCCTGTACCTCATGGGATTAGCGACAATTTCTCTTCCCGCGCACATCTCCGCGGAATATGGCACACGGTGGAGACTCCAGCGAAAAAAGAGTCGATCAATTATTGGGAAGATGCGATGCTAAAGATCAAGTTGCTGGAAAATTGGTGAGGAATGAGCGCGAGATCTTCTGTCACAATTGATTGATGCGCTTCCCATGCCTCATCTCATGATAATAGGCACAAATTTATAGACATTTTGGGTCTCTGAAACCACAGACGGTTGATGTTCATTTGCAATCTTCGCCACACACAGATTGAATTCATTGCTGCGAGTGTGAGAAAATCGGAAGTTGCTGGCACACTTTCCACATTTGCCCACATTCTGGCTCCTCTGCGCTGTTTATTTAGCTTCCCAATGATGAGAAGAGAGCACACAAGTGCATTTGCAAATACAGTATGTTATTTTATTGCTGCAGTTTTGCTAAAGATTTGCAGATTTTGAAGTGATTTAGAGGAGAGAAGAAAGTTTTATTCATTTACTAAACCAATAGCGAATGAAAAGAAGCGTATTATTGAGCAAAACACTCAGTCATTCATCAATATGAGAAAGCATAATCAATTTCCTTAATTTGACGTGTATTTCAAATTGATTTTCATTGTTGAAATCGTTGAAATTAATAATTTTCATATCACAAATGCAGAAGAATTTAGCACATCAGTGTGTCTCTACTAATCAAATGCGCTCAGTGTCTCAGATTCCATTAGGTTATTTTCTCCACCTGTCCACAGAGGCGCTGTTCGGAGTTCATCGAATACTCGAAATCAGAATCATCTGGAGGAAAATTGTAAACAATCCGTGGTTTTGTGCGGAAAATGTCCACGTAGCATCGCGATAACGAATTTACTGTGTTAATTAGTGCTCCACGTGTCACTGGAAAGCCTCCCCGAAGCACCATGACGAAGCTAATGCAGTGGTTGGCCGGTGTATTCGCCTTTCTCGCAATTTACATTCCTCTCGTGACCGGCATGGTTGACGTCGAATGCCTCCGGAACTTTCAGTACGAAATCAAAATCCTGCCAATTGTGCTCATTGGTCTGTTTGGGGTGAGTATCTGCGGATGGGTATCTGTCCCCTCGTGTCAGAAGGTATCTAATCTTCCCCAACACGTGTTGTGCCTTTGCAGATTCACTCAATAAATGTCGTTCTCTATCGCACCTTCACGATCCGGGACTGCAATGACGCAGCTGAGGAACTACAGAAAGACATCAAAGATGCCCGGGCAGACTTAATTGCCAAGGGATTCAAATTTCGGGACTGATGAGTCAGCCAGAAGGCGAACAAGCGGTTTACTTTTTACACTGGCAAGAGAATTTTGGAGGTTTTCAATGAAAATCAATTTAAATTTCCCATTGAGATCTTTCTTTTGCACCTTCGCTGCTGTTTCCAATTACCTTTTGTAGGCAGCACTGTGAGAGATTTCTAATGGATTTCAATCACACACACACATAGCATCATTGCTTCTCCTCTTGAGAAACCTACAGATTTTTTGGCGAGAAATTGGGTAAATGGGCGTTTTTTGTCACTGGAAGACAATCTAAAAGTGCGCAAAGGTAAAATCTCTCTTCTGAGAAAAAGACAATAGTTTGGGCTGAAAATTGAAGAAATTAAAGCCAGGGCGTTGGCTCGTTTGGAACAGTGTTGGAAGAGCGGCGCGGCAAAAAGTGTCAGAAACTGGGAAAATGCTTGGGAATGAGACGCAATTCCGAAGAGTCAATAGACGGAAAGTCAGCAAACACCTTGCAGATTCCAGCCATTTCACAATGCGACACATATTCTGTGTTTTCTGCATTTAGAGCTGCGGAATTAATAGAATGATCATGTTTGTCTATTTGGGGACAAATAGCTGTGGACTGAGAAATATTGTCTCTAAGAGCTCGCGAATTAGTCATCCGTGAATGCGGTGTGAACAATTGGTGGATTCTGCTGGAGAATCTCGCAAAATCTCCCAAAGATTTTGCCACTTCAGAGTCTCTCTCCCCCTTCCGACCCTCGCAATTTGCATCTATTGACCCCACGACGAGGCGATTTCACTAATTGCGCGGCACGGAGTTAATTGTAACTCTGAGGGCATGCCTCTAATTTTCTATCGACTCCCGAGGAGTTCTCGAGCAGAGCAGCGGCGATTTGGCGATGCGGGGAGACATGAAAATGCGCCTCTTGGGGCACAATGGGCTTTTCGCTCCGGTGGACCCACCTTGTTTCCCATGCCAGAGCCGTGAGCGCGAAGCACAGTGCGCCTGAAAAACCATTTAATTCTTCCCTCTTGGCAGCGACTCTGAGAAAAGGCCGCGGGAAAGGAGGGAGGCCAGAGTGGCGTGCACAGAGAGTAAAGTGTGTGATGAATGTGTCTATTCGTAGTACTTCTTGTACGGCCACTTCGCACGCCATACAGTGGAAGCCCGGCGCCGAGATTCGCACCGGGTGATGCCGGGATGGCGGCGCTCCGGAGTGGCAGTTGACCAGCCGAGTGGGGTTCAACTGTTTCCCGCTCTCTGGATTCCCTCTCCAGTTTTTCAACACACAGAGAAAATGAGCTGCGACCGATGACGAGGAGGGAGGCAATCTTCTCATGCCGCCTCTCGAGCGGTGAAATTTTCAGAAAATTTCAAGCGAGCGCGAGAGTTTATGAATCAATTCTCGAAACCATTAATTGAAGAATCAAAGTGATTGGAAGAAATTTCATTACTGAAATAAAACCAAGTAAATTCATAACTACTCTGTTATATTGAACAGTCATTAGTTATCTATGTATTCTTCTGTGTATAAAACTTTTCGTCAAACTTTTATTGATGAAAATACCAACGAAGTCAATCAATCGATTTATGCATGACATCATGATTGTTTAGTTCTCTGAATTCCATTGATACAATAGAATAGCTCCATCAATATGTGATTAAAGTAATGTAAATTCCAAATACCGACACACTCTTTCGCATTGGCATCTGTGCAAATTTCCCGAGAACTTGGACAAAGTTCCGCTGAAACTTTCAAAGTCTGACGCGAACACGCTGAACACGTACACAACAATAAAAAAAAAGTCGTTGCCTAAGAACCAGAACGGGTTTTCATCAAAATCAACTCCACACAGCGATCACCGTACAATTTATTTAGTCAGTTTCTGGCGGTTCTCCATCGACTGAGCATCTCTGAGTGTGCTGGCAGATTTCCCTCCTTGGAAGACACCCATTATAGCGGAGAGTCACACAAAGTTCACATAGTTTAACAGACGCCCAAGATGATGCTGAAGCTGTTGGGATTATTCGGCCTTTTCGCCCTGTGCAGTGCCCAAGCCAAGGTAAGAACAGTCGCGGGGAAATAGTGACAATGAAATTAAGTGCGCGCTATCATTTTGGCTCCTCAAGAGCGCTCGTAAATGCGGTTTTCCACACTGTGGCGTGCAATTTATTCAATGGATAATCTCCCTACACGGCGGGAATTACGTAACATCTCTTCATGACACACTTACAAAATATTATGCTCCTCTCCGAAAGCGCATAGTGAATTGCTTGATGTATAATTCCAACTATTGCTCATTGGCGGTGAGCTCGTAAAAAAGACGCTGTGCGGCAAGAATTGTACATCGCGCCATCGAGAGATGGGTTTTTGTGTGCGCGCGGTGAGAACACATCATTTTGGGCGGCATCAAACCGTCCAGATTTAAAAAACTCGTTCCTATTCTCTAACGATATTCTTGAGCATCAAATGCTCGTGTGATTTTTTGTACATTTCAGCGATAGACAATAAGAAAAACCCGTTCCGCCACTCTTGTGCTGAAGAGAAAATCGTGAATATTAATTTAATATTCTATATGTGCTAAGCAAATCTGTTCGCCAACACTCTTGATCGTGACGATTGGGTATTTCTCCGCAATTGAATTGACATACATTTAATCAAGCAATTCTCAGCAATTTTCTTTCCACACCCGCGGTAAAAGTGATTTGAGAATCGCCATTAATAGAACTGATGACAAATGAATATTTCTTTTTGCCATTCGAATTGTAATGATTCAGCACAACTTATTTTTCTCATAAAATATTTCAATAATCACATAATTCTCGCTCCATGCGATATCTCTAGCAAAGTGGCGGTTAATGTATCATTAGAAGCATTAGAATGTTATTGAGTAGCATCTTTTTGCTACTTTGAAGGTCTTATAGAAAATATTCCTAACGTTCTCTATTCCACAAATGCAATTCACCTTATGACTGTCTGCTGAGCAAACATACAGAGAACAATGGAAAAAAAACAACAAATTGCCGCTGAAGATATGAAGTAACAATTTAGCAAATGGTTTTTTGCCCTTATCGTGTGGTTGAGGTTCATGTTTTCCCTCCGCATAAGCATAAATTTCCGTTTGATCGATGCCAGAAATTTTCCAAAAGCGTGACGCCCCCTATTTTATTTATCCAGGTGAAGCTCAGGAGATGAGCTTCTGTGACCCACTTGAGGAATTCCACAGCGCCCTCATTTTGCCAGGCAATCATGGGATATGCAATTTAGCTGCTGAATTGTGGAAAGATGATTGAAGGCTCCATGGAATTTCCATGCGCAAAAGCTTATCGCAGCGCTCAATGACACTCCATTCATGCTTATTGTTCTCATCGTTTCCATATTTGTCTGATAAAAGCGCAAAAAGAGATAATCATGAAAATCGCGAATAAATCAAAGGGGTCAATAGAGCCTTTTTGGCAGCAGAAACGTGTCAGATTTGGCAAAAACTTGAGTCAATTGCCTCATGCGTGGAGTTATTTTGTATGTTTTCCTTTAAGGAAATTTAGTATTTGTCACGTTTTGCCAAGCTTCTTTCAGTTTGTCGCTTTTGCACATTTTTTCAGTTCACTAACTTCTGATTTACATTAAGCGGATAAGCTCAGTGGCGATCGTAAATCATGTTGATGAGCTTGGCAAAACCTTATAAGATTTGTTTTACGAAACTATGGAAACCGGTTTCTCTGATAAGACGAAGAATTTCACAAAAACATAGCCATTTATGGATGAAGTCATCATTTATTATTAAATTAAAATTCTTTCTTTTAATTTTCTTTCATTTGTTAATTTGATTTTTAGTAAAATCAGGAAAATCTACTCAATCATTGACAGTTGAAAATCTTCACTATAATGTTGATCACACGCAAAATTAAGCAAATTAACAATCCTATTGTTGTTGCTTGTGAATGTTTTGTCTTTTTTATATGATTCACTTGAGCAAAAAACATACATTTACGCAATTTATCATTGGACCTCAACTATGATGTATTTCGAAAACTCGACAATTTTCTTTCTGTCCAAATTACTTTTGTTGAAATTTTGCCTCCAGTCAAATTTCTACCGGCTAAAAGCCGCCGGAATATTTGGGCTTCTCTCTCTCTTATTTAAATTTTCATGGAAAGAAAACTCATCTTGTGTATGAATAAGATGTATTTTTCATCGTGGGTGCGGAGGAAAAGAGCACGAAGGAATGATTCAGACCTCAATTTTCTATAGGTATTTTGCTGTGTATGAACCATAATTATCGTGTTTCTGTTAATTCTTCCGTTTTGCTGTCCACTACGCCATCGATGTTTTTTTTACCTCAAAATGAATAACAATTATATTGTGGCACTTGTATGAGGAAACAATTAGCATTTGTTAATGTTTAATAGTTCATCTTGAAAGTCATGAATTGGGAGTTGACCATTTCAGTTTGGGTGAAATTTGTAAATTACCTGTTTGTGGTCGTTTAACATTCTTGTGATTCTCTGGATGGGTTTTACCTCGCGAAATTGCTATGAAGTTTACATTTCCCATTATGATATAACATTATAATGATATTGATATGGTGAATGCGGACATTATAGGGGGAAATATGTGTGATTTCTTTTCAATCCATTGAGAGAAGGTGAAATTAAGTGGAATTTTTGACTCTGATTCTGCGCCACGGACAGTGTATTGGTGTTGTTAAAGAGTTCAGCGAACTTGAACCACACTGAAATCCATCAGAAAAATGGGGGCTTCTGGCTGGGCGAGAGAAGGGACCGCCAAATACGCGTTCTGTCTGTATTGGAAACAATTTATGGACTTTTGTGGGGAAAAACTCGCGCCAGAGATGTGTAAATAGAGAGAAAGTTACATAGAGTATCGCATTCTGTGGCCGCGTGTCGCTCTGCCACTTGCCAGCCACGCCCAAGGCGCACTCAAACGCTCAATTATGAGCCCCTCTTCCGTGATCTCACTTCTCATGATGAGCATTTTTCCGCACAGGTGCCCGTTTACGTGTACTACGAGAGTCTCTGCCCGGACAGCCAGGCTTTCATCACCCAGCAACTCTATCCTGCCGTCAAGGGGCCACTGGGCAAGTTCGTGGACCTCAAGCTGGTGCCATACGGAAAGTCTAATGTGAGTACAAATGAATTGAAGTGGATAATTAGCTTACGATTAGGCTGTGCTGAACTTCAGCCGCAATTTATGGACCTTCCCATGAATTACTTATATGAAATTGCTTTAATTTTTAAGTATGATCATAGATTAGAGATGTTTTGATGCTTGTTAGGAGCAAAACAAGCCATTTAGGTTTAGGTTTTGTTGAGCAGAAAGAGCGGGAAATCTAAAATGCTGTGCTCTTGTGTGTTGTTACTGAATACAATTTCCTTTGCCTGAAGGAAATTCTGACTTCATACAGTCAATATTTAGTAAAATAACATTGCTGATTAGTTGTTTGAGTGGAATATTGCAATTTAGCTTAAAGGGAGAAACTCATTGGCTGTCCTTATGCATTCCAGTACACAACGTTGGGAGCGGATGTCCTCTTCACGTGTCATCATGGCCCAAATGAGTGCTACGGCAACAAGGTTCAGGCTTGTGCCATCGACCACATTCAGGTGAATTCCTACCAGCACGAGCACACGCGAGAGACCCTGACCCTGGAGTTCATCAACTGCCTGATGAAGATGGGCAACAATTTCCCCGACTCCATCTATCCGGGCGAGAAGTGCGCCCGCCAAGTGGGTGTGCCCAACTGGGACAACATTGAGCGATGCGCCAACAGCACCGAGGGCAGCAAGAGCCTTCAGCGCTTCGGCGAGCTCACGGGGATGCTCCAGCCTCAGCTCACGTCTGTGCCCACAGTGACCTTCCGCCAGAAGTACGACCACGACACACAGATGATGGCTCTGTCCAACTTCGGCCTGGCGCTGTGCAAGAAGATTTCCTCCCCCACGCCCATTGAGTGCTCCAACATTCCCGGTGCCGCCGCAGAGAAGTCCTCGGCGGTCCTCATCACCGTGGCGGCCCTCCTGTTTGCGCGCCTCTTCTAAGACGGACGCCAGAGAGCCCTATTCAAGTACTTCTCACCTTGATCATTCCACCTTTTTTTGGCGCGCATTTTATACCCTCGTGCCGAGGGATAAGAAGAAAAGACAACACAGTCCACAAGAACACGGCGAAGCATCCTTAGGAGAAAAGCTAGTTTAGCGACATTCTTTCGTCCTTTCAACACTCATTGTCCCGTCCGTGAGAAATTAAATTTCTCCACCAGACATTTTATCCCCTCTTTCTGTGTAAAAAATAGAATTGTTATGAGATGTTCTTCCAAAGTTGTACCACAGTGAAGTATAGAAGAAATAATAAAGAGATAATGGAAGAGATGTGCTTCTCTAGGTTTGTTTGCTGACATTTTTATACACAAAATTTTTTTTTCATGGCAAAGTCGCCTTCTTGAAGTTCGTGGGTGAAATGGGCGAAACATTGTTTCGCGCAAACAGAATGGTGAAAAACGAAGAAGGTATTCAAAGAAAATAACGATACTTCATCATTTTGACAAGAAAAATATTATACAATGTTTATAAAAAACACATACGTGCATTTTTGATGATATGTACGTCACAAATAAGAGAATAAATTCTCAGGAAATATGTGTATTTATTTTAAAGCTTGTTGTTGAAATTCTATTGATGAGTTTGATTATTTTCATCCCTCAAGAATGCACTGTTTATTGTCTAAAGTTCTAACTGATATTTTTCCAGGAATTTAATAATAAATTTACACTTCAAATACCACACAATTTAATTATATCTTCCATAGTTGAAAACTTGATGCAAATTAAGCAAATCATTTATAGAAATTTACTCATGTGATCATCAAATTCTGAAAGTTTACCAACATTGTATTCAATTAATTAATGTGTAATGCAGCAATATAAACAATGCCACGAGACATTTTCATGGAAAACACACTTCGTGGAGCTCGAATTCTATCAACTTCAATAATATCGAATAATCGCCTTACCTAATAATAACCTAGTATTCATGAATGTTTTATATTGGTCTTCATACACCTTTTCACACCTATTCCAGACCGCATTATTCCCAAACGACACCCAGAATATATTTTCACCTTCCGAATTCATCGTCAGAAGGGTCCTACAATCCCACTGGGTTTAACCTTCTTCAGGGATAATTTTTCTCGCTGGGAAAGAAAATATTTTCATTAATTGTCCATGGCAAAAAATATGTGCGGAAGATGATGTTGAGAGAGCACTTTTCCACCTTCGCGTCGGGGAGATTACGTGAAGTGGTCTGAATACTCTTGTTGTGCCACACATTTACATATTTTCTTATTTTTTAATGCTTGTGCTTCGCTGCAAAATATGGACTATTTTTGCATCCTTCCGCCAGACCCTGAGTCATCGTGGAGACGCGTTGGAGGTGAGGTAGCGAAGCAGGGGTGAGACGAGAGGGGTGAATGAGAAAAGGGAAATTAATGCATTAGCACAGCTGAGGATTTAACAAAGATAGATTCCGAGATTGAAATAGTAAGTAAATTATTAATCCACTGATGCTATCTCATCCATTTTTCACAACATCCACGAGCTTTTCACGTCTTGTGAACAGCTTTCCTGGGGTGCGAAGCAGCGCAGAAGAGACCCGAGATTTAATTCACGTGGTTGTTTCTCATCTCTGAACCCCCATGATTGGTCATGGCAAAGCGCGTGCCCCATTAAAATGTACAAATTGGGGGAATTTCTTAATTTCATCACCCTCCTCAGCGACCCACACGTGCACAGGTGGTTGGAGAATGTCAATAAGTGGCATTCATGTGGGATGATGAGTGCTAAAAGAAATGCTCGCAACCCTTAACAAGCTGTATTGTGGCTTTTCCCCATGTGAGATAAAGGGGAATAATTTCAGCATCCTTTCCACGCCAGAATCGCTCATTACGGGCGCAATGTTGGCTGACAATGTGCCAATGTTTAGTGAGTAATGAGCCTTCGTCGCCTCCTGGGACAGCCACGTCCGGAGGAAGTCATTTGGGGTGCGTGTGCACTGGCAACGCTGTGATGATCCTCCTGCAGCGATAGAGACCACAGCGATATTTGCCCTCGCAATCACGCACGGTGGAAAGGCGCAAAACACACCAATATTGCTGACGACAGGCGTCAGGTGAAATTGTACACCCACACATTTTATTACTTCTGTTTTTCGCGCGGGAAACCAATGGCCCTCCCGCATTGGCTGGGCGAATCTATGAAGCGCATATGAATGTACATAGTCATTTCGTACACAATAAACATCACAAGTATTCCCATATGCAAGCGCATGATGAAAACCAAACCACAAGCATTTCAGGGAGAATTTTGCAGTTTCTTGATGTGGACAGAAAAGGTGAATATATTGCAAAATTCATTGACCAAAAACAGTGTCAAAATTCAGTCAGAAATGCAATTTCACTAAATATCCATCAAATTGTTTGACATTTGATAAGGCAAAGAGTTGCTTATGCAGAGTAAATTTGTATGTCATTGGAATTGCTGGTGCTTGATTGAATTGTACGTATTTTGTGTATACAGGAAATCAGAGAAAACGAAGACTGTTGAGGAAGCCTCAGAAGAGCTGATGTGCAATTAATTGTGTTCCAAGAATTATTTGTTTCCTGGGAGACTCATTATTAATTTTCAATGCATATATATCAATCATATCTCTGCGTGTATGATTCCTCTTATCAAAAATGTGGGTTTGGAGACCATCAAAAACAGAAATTCTAACATACATTGTCGACGAGTGACGTCAAGAGCGTGTGAAAATTTCCTAAGGTTTAGACGTCATAGAATAATGATTTTCTTACAGTTGACTTTCGATTCCCAATTAATCAGAATTAATTGTTCTAATTAATCTTGCAAAACAGGATTTTGTTGCTCATAAAATGAGGGACAACATGCTTAAATTAAACACCTCAATTAATTAAATGATCATTGTTTTAAAATGAGATAATTTAATTAAGAATACAAAATTTGTAAGTGTATTTTCAGTAGAACTTGTGTGTGTTTATAAAATTTGTTATCATTCAATTCAACCCAATCCTTTCACAAGCATGTTGTTTTTCTCCCACATCAGAGACAATTCAGCAATAACTCCTGCTGTAATCATTCAACGATATAATATCAATAAATTACTGGCATAAACGCGCAATGGTAAGTGTTTACCCATGCAGGAGATTATTGTTCATTATTGGGGGAATAATTATTTATTATCTCACCCACGAGACAATTGAGATCACAACAGTTAATAAAGTGATCTACATGCCTTATCACCGAGCGGAATTGGTGCCAAAAGAGGGGGTGGATGGGCGAAAAAAGTGATAATTCGTAAAGGGTTATGAAAGTGGCCACATGTTTTATGACGAAATTTGTATCTATGTGAGAATGTCCATTAAAAAATGTGGCCCTTTAAACTTTTCCCATCAGCAAGCTTGAGAAAATTGTGTTAATTAGTGTGACAAAGTGGCTCCTGTGTGATGCAAATTGTCGAAACTATGTATGTCTGAAAAAGCTCCGCATGCTTCGCCAGTGGGAAGCTTTTGATGATCCCTTCGGTCAGGTACTCCAACACTGGGAGCCACTCGTTGGCTGCGTGTTTCCACACTCACGCAGTTGTTTTGCCTAACTCCTCCAATCGAGGCTCTCGTCAGGTATAAAACACGAACTCATTCCTTCACTCGTCCATTCATACTTTCGCTCCTGCTGAAAGTCGGTCGGTCTCCGAGAGCAGCACTCAGTGGAACTTTCTGAGGCTCTGCCTCCAGTTTTCCCGTGGAATTACTGCACAATTTCCCGCCTCACGGCCCGGAAGTTGATCCCTGACGAAGGAGAGGAGAACCAGTGTTGTGCTTTAAGTGAGTGAATCATTTTTTTGTCCATAATTTCTTGTGCAATAGACGATAGGGAAATTGCGGTGTATTTCTGCCACCCCTTCAATCGTCAACTTTGCTTGTAGAAAAGTGTTCTAGAGAGGGAGGAAAAATTGCAACTCACCCCCAAAATATAGTGTGAGGAAGGAGGCTTAGAAATGGGGAGCAATTGCACGGATTTAGTGAGAAGCTTGGGAGTCCCCCGATGGAGAAATTTCCCCTTCTCGCCTTAATTACGCTCTGCATTTCACGCGTGTGAATTTATAACGCGAAGGAGAGAGAATGCTGATGAATAAGTTATGAGGTCCCATCGCACGCAAACACACGTAACGTAATTAGCATTCAATAAAGTGATTAAGTGCCGATATTCAACAGAGATTTGGCAAATTTCGCCTGGATTTTTTCCCAGCATCCTCTCGCATTCTTTCACAACAAGAAAAACCACCCACTCTTCAGGATTAACATCTCAACCCACATCCCGAAATTCTCCCCAATTGTTCTCTTTTTTCCCTATCAGTAGCTGAGGATCATCGCGATTGCTCCTTTTCTTACTCCTCCGTATCCTATTTAAACACAGAAACTCGACAAACTCACCTAACCTTAAGTAAATATAAGACGGATTTCTCGTAAATTTGTCTCAATTTCATTTTAATAAACCTCTCTCATGATTGCTCTTGTGAATCTCTCAGGACAAGGGGATAATAAATGGCACATTAGGACTATGGGGGTTACTAATCTCAAGAAATTCTTGTCAATTCTATAAATATTTCAACTGTATTACAAGCTGTTGATTTAGAGAGAGACCGTGGGTTGGCAAAAATCATCTCTGATATCTTGTGTTATTTCTTCATGATATTTCCTCTTCGCGTGGCATTCATTATTAATTGTGTCCGAATTTTATACACAGTCCTGTCCTTTTCTGGGATTCACTCCATTTTTCTGCCATCGTGAATCATCCATTTATTTATATCATTAATTATTTTCTCATTACATTCAATTTGTAGGCCCACCAGACAGCGTGAAGACCGAGGCCTGTATTTATATAGCAAAATGCAACAATTCTCCCTCTACTTTGCCTTCATCCTAGTCATCCTGATAGGCAACAGCGAAGCCAAACGTGAGTAAAATAGATCCTCCTTAGCCAAAGACAATGCTCGATCTAAATTTGCAACATCATTTTCCATTCTTGTTATGTGTGGGATATTTTTGGCGTCGACCGTTGAGGCATCCTGGGAAAAACCTGCTCAATGGAGCTCCATTCATGGGGAATCGCGCAATGGGAGACAATCAGGGCGGGAAATCATCAAAGTGGAACAATACGCATCAAGTAGTAACAGACATCGTTCTGTCGGTGAACATTGCCACTTATTTGAGGTTGAGTGCGATACAATAACAAAGGGTGGCGTCGTTCCCTCAAACAGTCGTCGACTTACCCTCAATTGCACACCACACAGGTATCTGATGGGGGTGGGAAAGTGTGCTCCGAGCTTTTCTCCATGTTCAATCGGAAAATCAAATACAATTCCCATGTAAATGGTACCCTTTTCACACCCACATTGCAGCGTCTGGTGTCCCCATCTCGGCCGGAAGTGAAGGTGTAATTGATATTTTGTATAATTTAGCAATGATTTTCCATGGAAAACCCTACACAATCATCCCTCTCTGCACCAGGCGTCCTCACAGCGCGCGATGACGCCTGATTGCTGCCCCGACGAAGAGTGTTTTCAGTCAGTTCATGATTTATTTATCAGCTCCTCGATTCTTCCCGCCACCATTGCATTGGTTGAGGAAAGATTGACAATTTCCAGAGGTGCATAAAACAAGGGAAATATCACAGGGAATTGATGAGAGGAAAACATGATGATTTGCACGAAAGGAATCACAATCCGATAAATATTTCAGACCTTCTCGGGTATTTTATTGCAATTTCTATGCACTTGAGCGTCTTCAGCATCGATTGTGAGATGTTACAAGAAAACAAACATAATACACTAATAAATGCCCACTGAAGTTCGATGAAATACGCTAAACCTTTCAGCGCTAAGTGTAAAAAACACAAAGTGCTTGCGAAGAGATAATGGGTTTTATTTCGGCCAACGTTGGAAGGAATATATTTTTTATACCAGGTTAAATGTTTTTTCCCCGTCGTTTTACAACTCCAAAAAGTTGTAGCAAAAAATATCGATTTGCCTACGGATGAGTTGTATTGCATTAAATATTAATATACTTTTGTGTATTTTTCGCATGATTCGAAGCTTCTGCAATATTTATTCCCTTCCGATTGGCCTTTAGGTATTTTTGTCCCACTGGCATTGTTTTCTAATGGGTCATTGATAAACATTTTTCTTTATTATGCTCTCTAATTGACTTTCCCGCCTTCCTTCCTTCTGTGCAGGAGGATGTAGTCTCTACGGCCACTCCTGCTACGGCGGTCACGGCAAGAGATCCACTCTTCCCCGGCTAGCTGACGGCCTGTCCCTCGACGCGGCTCCCAGCCCACTCCTGAAGCTCCTACGAGACACCAGTCGACCCTACCCGCCCTCCCTCGTCGCCGACTACCCAGACCTGTACGAGAATGACAACGAACCGGACAATTTACGAGTGGTGAAGGACTTCAATCGTGCCATTTTCACCCTCCTGAGACAACTGGTGAGGCACCTGAGGCACGAGCTCTTGAGAGATGGCCTTTTTCTTGTAAGAATTGCCTTCATTTAAATTTATATCGTCGACTTTTTTTTCCCTTTCATGGAACTGCGTATAAATGCGGCACTGGATTAAATTGGGGGTGTTCCATTCAGGCTGAAAATCGAATGAGAAATCCCGCCGATGTGGAGAACCACCAGAATCCGGATGCAAATGAATTCTACAAAACCACCACCGCAAACAACAATAATCAGATCCACAACATTTAACTCTCCTCTCTCCCTTTGCCTTGACATTGGACGCATGAGAGGAAGGAAAAATGTTTAGATTGTATATAAGATGACTTCTTTCTGCAGATGGAGCGTAGGGAAAAAGGGTTTCTGGCGAAAATACCAACAGAATGCTGTGGCTGGGAGCATTTTCTTGGCTTTTTCGCCATCATAGTCATTGCCCACACATGAAAACAGGCTGGAGGAGCCGCTAAAATAAATATTTAAATGTTCTCTTTTTGGCTGCTGTAGCAATGTATCCTCAGACGTGTATTTGAAGAATAAAAGATGATTAAAAAAACATTAAAGTCTTTTCAATTCCATCAATTCTATGTGATGAATGAAAATGAGCAACTGTTGAATATGATAATGCACGTTTTAAAGTGTCAAACGACTAATAATTTTTTTTTATTTGATGTTTCCGATGAAAAACTATACATTCCCTGAGAAATATTCCGATTTCCTCTACAATCTTCACTTTTCTGTCTGAGACCGTTACTTCTTCCCAATCCGTTTGAAAATCCATCGCTGCCGAAATATACGCAGCCGTCGCTGTCACCGCAGCCGAAATACACGTGTTTTTATGCATTTGTAAACAGAGCTGAGTTTTCCTGGCATATTCCTGAAAATCCGCGGAGAAATGTCTGGAAGTGTGGTGTTTAGGCGGAATCGAGCCCTTGGCTATGTGACTAATCATCTTCCGGCGACGGTGAAGTATATAAAGAAGAGAAAAGCCAGCGTGGTGGTGACTTGCATTGGACGTTCGCTTCATGCGTACGAAAGCCAGCATTTCCGGCTCATTTCCGTGGGCAGAATCCATCCCGAGGACATCACGTGTGTATCCTCAGACAACAGATACGTCTACTCAGCGAGTGCCAAGAAGATCTTCGCGTGGAGATCCGGGAATCAGTTGCTGCACACCTACGAAGGCCACGGAAGCAATGTTCATCTGCTGCTGCCCTTCGGTCAGCATCTCGTGGCCGTGGACGAGGAGAGTGTGCTGCGGGTGTGGGACATCGAGGCTGAGAGTGTCCACCTGGAGATTCCCTTCGCTGCTGACGCGTTCAGGATCTCAGCGATCTCGCATCCGGCGACGTACCTTAACAAAATCCTTTTGGGCAGCGAACAGGGGCTCCTGCAGTTGTGGAATATCAAGAGCGGGAAGCTCGTGCACACCTTCCAGCCACTGGACAGTCGAGTGTTGGTGCTGGAACAGGCTCCGGCAGCGGATGTCATGGCAGTGGGACTTCAGAGTGGTGCAATAAAACTGCTGAATTTGAAGTTCGACGAGATGCTGATGGAGTTCCGCCAGGATTGGGGTCCAGTGACGGGGATCTCCTTCCGAACCGATGGGCATCCAATCATGATAACATCCAGTACGAATGGAGAAGTGGTTTCCTGGGATCTGGAGAAGAGGAAGGCGAGTGTCTGCGAGTTATCCGAAAGAAAAACACCTGAATGACTTGATTTTGTATGTTTTTAGATTGTTAATCAATTGTCTGCACACACTCAGTCCGTGACAACGCTGAGCTGTCTGCCGAGTGAGCCTCTATTCATCTCCACATCCCCGGACAACTCTATTAAGATGTGGATCTTCGATTTACCCGATGGAGGGCCTCGTTTGCTGCGCTTCCGCGAGGGACACGCTGCTCCGCCTCTCTGCATTCGCTTCCACGGGGCCAAAGGAGGCAACATTCTGTCTGCTGGTGAGGATTCCTCACTCAGAGTGTTCAACACCGTCACTGAGAAGGTCAACAGATCCATGGGACGCGCGAGTTACAATAGAAAAGCCGCCAAGCGAAGTAATGAACAGCCAAAATCGCCTTCCTTGATCAATTGCTGACTGAAGCGCGTCTCTCTTTCCAGATCGCAAGTACGAGGATGTTCATCTCATGCCGCCGATTGTGCAGTTCACGAGTGAAGTGACGCGAGAAAAGGAGTGGGACAGCATTGCTGCCATCCACACTGGCCTGGATCTCGTGACAACGTGGTCGTACTATGGCAGCAAGATGGGAGACTTGAAGCTAAAGCCTAAGGCTACGGATGAGAAGCACAGACAGAAGCTCCTCCAGGTTGAGGCCACGTGCATCTGCCTCACCACTTGTGGCAATTTCGTCATTGTGGGCTACTCGTCAGGAGATGTGCAGCGCTTCAACGTTCAGTCGGGCCTTCATCGTGCCTCTTACGGTGCTCCAGCGCATGAGGATGCCGTGCGAGGAGTGGCTGTGGACGCTCTGAACCAGTATGTGATCTCTGGCGGCAGTGACGGATCGGTGAAGTTCTGGAACTTCAAGTCAAACGGTGAGACAAACAGGAGGAAAATTTGCCTTCTCAGCATAATCACTTTCTTCTCTTTCGCCAGTGACCACGTCAATTGGGCGGATTCGCATGGAAGATGGCCTGACAATGTTCAGAGCGCATCGTGAGAGTGGAATGTTGTGCATCGCCCTGGAGAACTACACGCTAAACGTCTTGGATTGCGACACGAAAGTTGTGGTGCGGAAGTTTGTGGGTCACAAAGCGCCAATCACGGACGTCTGCTTCAGTCCGGACAGCAGATGGCTGATCTCTGCCTCCCTGGACGCCACGGTGAAGGTGTGGGACATTCCTTCGGCCTACATGATCGACCACTTCAAGCTGGATGTGCCTTGCGTGTCCCTCAGCATGTCTCCCACGGGAGATTTCCTCGCCACGGCGCACATTGACCACTTGGGCGTCTTCCTGTGGGCCAACAAAGCCCTCTTCGATCACATCTCCCTGCGAGCGCTGAATCCCACGTCGGAAGCGCCTCTGGTGGATCTGCCGGCGTCGGTGGAGGGCGCAGATGTGGCGCAATTGGACGAGGAGTTTGCAAAAGCTCTGGACTTTGGCGAGGAAATCTCGATAACCTACGAAACACCTCAGCAACTAGATTCAGACCTGATCACGATGTCTGCCGCCACGAGTAGTCGCTGGCAGAACATTTTCCATCTGGACTTGCTGAAGAAGCGCGCAAAGCCGAGAAATCCTGTGACAACTGAGAAGCACGCTCCGTTCTTCCTGCCCACAATTCCTGGACTAGAGTTTAAATTCGATCTCAGCCAGGCGCAAAGTCAAAAGGAGGCGTCAAAGGTGATAATTCCCAAGAATTTCAACAACTTCACTGACTTCGGCAAGATTCTCAACGACACTGTCTCCGGAGGAAGTGTCCAGCCGGCGATTGATCACATAACCAAGCTGGGACCCTCGATGGTGGACTTCGAGATAAAATCCCTCTCTCCAGACGCCGCAGGATCGATTGAACTCATGGAACAGTTCCTCCTCATGGTTCTCGACATGCTGCAATCGAATGCGAACTTTGAACTGGCGCAAACCTATCTGGCCGTCTTCCTGCGCGAGCACGGCGACACAGTGACCCGCACGGACTCCCTGCGCGCCCTGCTGGACTCCCTGGCGGAGGCACAAGAGCGCGGCTGGAGGAAACTCGAGCAGAAGCTGCTCTACGGCCTGGGAGTGGTGGGAATGCTGAGAAATTACGCATCTCTGTAGGAAAAAGAATCACTTCAATATATTTCAGCGCGCAGAATTCATGGATTTTTGTACATTATGTGTGGATTATGGTGAAGAATGTGCACCAAAAGAATGTTATGCTTCGCCATTCTTGTAGCGCAACAGGAAATAGACGCGCTTGAGATTGTTGTACTTCTGTCGAAGTTCAGCCAACTCAGTTGTGCTGTCCGTGTTGAAGTTCGCGGCGTCATTCTCCTTCTGACCCGTCGCGCCATCCTCCAATTCGCGAATTCTCTCACACTTTGCCACATTCTCGCTGTGCAGATGAGCGCACTTCTCCTGGATGCGCTTGAGCTCATTCTTCGTCTCCTGCAACTGCGAGCGCAGAATCAAATCACGATGAGGACTAGCATCGGTCTGCGAGGAGATTTGTTGTGTGACAGCAGGCGCTTTCTCAGTCACCAGACACTTGATCTTCGCTTCTGCCCTGCGCAAATCCTGCTGCACTTGCATCAAGTCCGTCGTAAGGCTACTGATTGTGAGATCTTTCTTGGTCATGTCGCGCTTCAGCATCTTGAAGTCATTGTTCAACGGATGCTTGTCCAAATTGCGCTCAGCCGTTGACAATTTGTACTCCAACACGGTATTCTCATTGCGCAGATTTGAAATCTTATCGGCCAATGCCTGACATTGGCAGGATTCGCCTGAAAGAATCAAACACAATATCAACTCAAGGATGCCTTAAGGTGGGATGTTAGAGTATTAACTCACTTGTAGGATCTGTCATAACCGCCACATCACGCTCAATATTGTAGTTAATACTGCGATTCACATCGTAGAGCGATTGACGATCACTCTTGCGTCTCTCCTTTTGATTGGCCGTCGGCCTCAATCCAGTGGGACTTGAATCCCTTCCCGTTGATCCCGTAGAGTGATCACTTTTCTTAAATTTCAACTCGTCAATCTCCTTGCCCTTTTCCGCCACAAGATCATTGAGTCTGCAAAATTTAACAGATATTATACAGCGTGGGCACTAATTATAGCTCCACTGTAGGTATCCAGGGTGTAGGTAGTCTGGGGCAAAAACAAAAAATATCAAATATGGCGTTTGATTGCCTATCCATAGCCAAAACAAAACCCCCAATATGAGCCCCTCCGCCGGATCCTAGGGATTCTAGGGAACTTTATCACTTTCTGGCCTGGCACTAATTATAGATCCACTTGGGAATTTTCACTATATCTCAGCGAAAAAAATCGGAAAATTCTGAAAATCATAAGGATTCTTCATTTTGAGCCTAGAAACCATTTACCGTCGCCAACCCCGCCTCGGTCCTCCGTGGACCCCACTTTAAGGTCTTTGCCTGAACAGATCCAAATGGCTCCTCCGCAATGGGGCGGGGGCCCAATGCCAAAACTCTTCATAGGGCGATGAAGCCTTTGAGCATAATTGGGTTTGCCCGATACCTTGAATCCTGGCCTTAAGCACTTCTTCCAGGGTCTTTTTCTGCTTCTGGCCAAACCACCCCAACCCCCGGACCACCCCCAATGAAATGGGGCGAAAATTCTTGGACACTTCTAGGAAACCCGGGACCCTAGATCCGGGGAGGGTAGCGCCTCGAGGGAGGCCACACCGTGAAGAGACCATAAACCAAAAAAAACCCAAACCCACAGGGGCCTCATATTGGGGTTTGTTTGCTATGGATAGGCAATCAAACGCCATATTTGATATTTTTTGTTTTTGCCCCAGACTACCTACACCCTGGATACCTAGTGGAGCTATAATTAGTGCCCACGCTGTATTGTCAAACGACATAATTTAATCACAAATAAACACTCACTTCTCAATAGTTTTCTCCTTCTTCTTAATGCGCTCCTTCAGCAACTTTATATCATTATCCTTCTCATTGATAACAGTCAACTTCTTCTTCAGCGAATCCCTCTCAAACACAATATGCTCATTTGCATCCTTCAGACTCTTGATCTTCTTCTCCAATGACACTTTCATCGTTCTTGTTTCCTTCAGAATCTCTTCCTTTTCCCTCTGCAGAGATGCAATTTCGTCATCAGAAGCTTTAGTTGGAGCATTTTGTTTGTTCATAGCCACACATTTCTCGAGGCTCTCAATAATTACGGATTTATCGCTGATTCTCTTCATCAATTCGTTAACAGCAGAGGTTTTCTCATCAGCGACCTTTTTAAGTTTCTCACATTCCGCAGTGAGACAATCCTTTTGCTTCTTCATCATCTTCAACTCTTCCTTCACACGTTCACTGTCACCATCCTGCATTTTGTTCGCACGCTCCGTCAATCCATTTATCAACTTGGTCTTCTGCTCGAGCTCAAGTCGCAACATTGCCACCTCTTCGTCACTCTTTGTCGACATTTCGGTCACGTGAGTGATCCTCTCACGCAGCGACTCAAGTTCATTGCAATTTGACTCGTTCTCGCGTTCCAGCTCATTGATTCGCTGCTCTGCGCTGCGCCACTTGGAGGAGAGTCTGTAAATAGATGAGTGTACGCATGAGTTAGGGGATTTTCCTGTAAACATAGAATGGAATGTTCAGCAATTACTGTTCATGAGCTCCCAGCTTTGCCGCCAACATCTCTTTCAGCTGATCAATTTGCTCCTTGTTGGCACTCTCATCACTGGCCTTCTTCTCAGTCTTCACATTCTCAATCTCCTCGCGATGCTTCTCCTGGATCTGGAAGGAATTTGTGTGAGAAAAACATGGGAAAAGCAGCAAAAACACACAGTTTACCTGTTCAATCTCCTTCTTCAGTTGCTCCTCAGACTTCCTGGCGACACTGAGATCCTTCTCATTCTGTGTAATCTCACCCTTCAGACGCTCAAGCACAGATTTCAGTTCTTGAACAACACATGTGAGTTCTCTATTGACAGAATCCAGCTGATCTTTCTCCGTTTGAAGCTGACGCTGTTTCTCCTCCTCATCACTGATTTTCACCTTCAATTCCACCACTTTCGTCTCGTGTGTGTTCTTCAGATCCTCCAGCGTTTTCATCGTGTCACAGTTCACATTCTCCTGCTCCCTCAGACGAGCCTGCAGTGTCACCACTTCAGTCTCACACCAGCGCAACTTCTCAGACAGTTCGTTTTGCTCATTGAGATCTTTCTGCTGATTGCTCAAAATAAGCTCAGATGCACGTCGAACACTGGCACACTCCTGCAGCAGAAATGACTTCTCTCTCTCCAACTCCTCGTACGCTGCACGCAACTCCTCATAGTCGCTCCTCAACTGACTATTGTCACAGTTCAACTCTGCATGTGCATTACGAAACGCGGCGATCTGTCAATGAGAAATCGAAATTTCAAATTCAATCCAATCTCCAGTTTAAACTTCCAGTCTTCCTACCTGATTACGCAGTTGAACAATGATCGCGAAAGTATCGCGAGATTTCACTGTAAGATCAGTGTTTTCCAACACCAAATCGTCAATAATCTTGCTGTTATTCAAAATTTGTCCACTGTAAATTCTGCACTGTTCCTCATTCTTCACTTGTATATCTTCAATGCGCTGCGTCAGCTTTCTTCGCTCCTCCTCCAACCACTCCTTCTCCTTTCTCAATTTCTGCTGCTCATGGCCCAAATTTCCCTCTTCTACATTGTTGCTGACCTTCAATTGGCACATTTCTTCCTCCAGAGACTTCACAAGAGCCTCTTGTTTATCAACGCTGCGCTGCAGATGAATAATCTTCCTCTCCTTCTCCTTAATCAGGTCCTCATCCGATGTCGCCTTCTCCCTGAGCGACTCCAATTCATACATGATGGCATCAATCTTCAGATCCTGCCTCTTCCTCTCCTCCACCAATTTAGCGATCTCTTTCTCATTGCCCGTATTCTCCAGCACAACAGCTTTGTATTTTTCCGTCAATTCACCGTACTGAAAAATTCAATTTCACATTAATCTACCAACTTCAGCTTCAATCAAATAAATCACCTGTGAGTGAAGCTCCAAATTGTTGTTGAACTTGAGTTGCGACGCTTCCAGATTCTGATTCAGTGTCTCCTTCTCAATCACCAAATCATTAATGGTGATGTTGAGTTCCATGATCTTCTCCTCACATCGCGTCGCCTTCTCAGAATGATACATAATCATCTTCTCCAATTCTGCCTTCTCCTCTCGCCATCCCTCCTTCTGAGCAGCTTTCTCTTCCATCAGTCCATCCTTGTCCCTCTGCAGAATCTCCACCGAAGCCTTGGCATCCTTCAAATCCTCAATGTAGGTCAGCTTCATCGTCTTCTCCTTGTCCAGTTGCTCTTGGAGTTCAGCGACTTTTCGCTGCTCCTCCTCAAAACTCTTCTTCAACTCATCAGACTCCTGGACACTCTCAATCAGCTGCCCGGAGAGCTTTTCATTCTCCTCAACCAAGCTCTTTCGCTCATTTTGCAGGATCTCAAAGGAATTTGAGCGCATCTTCTGCTGATTCGCAGAACTTGCCGTCTTGGCATTGCCCACAAGCTGACACAGAAGAGTCTGATCGAATTCCATGAGCGAAGCCTCATTCCTGTCGAACTGACTAATGTCCTCAAGGCTGTTGTTATCCCCTTTGATCGTGCTGTCGCTACTGTTCACGTCGTCATTCATCATTGTCGTCTCAGAGATCTTAATCGACAGCTCCTTGTTCTCCGTCTCGAGAATGGAAATTGTACTTTGCAGCTCGAGAATCACATCGCGCATATTGTTCACTTCCGCATACAACTGGGAAATCTTCTCCGAGTGATCATCGCTCTGCTCGACCATTTCAATCTTGTTCAGGAGTGTCTTCTCACTCTCATGTCTCGCCTTCTCGCTCTGATTGATCTCATCTCGCAAATTCTCAATCATCCTCTCTCTGCCAGCGATCTCCTCCTCCCTGGCCATCTTCTCCTGCTCAACTTCCATCCGCAAACGATCGTTCTCCGTCTTCATCTTCGCCAGAGACTCCTTCATGACCGTCAAATCGCCGTTGCTCTCGATGATCATCAGCAGCTCCTTCTCTCGGCCAGTCATCTTGCTCTTGTATTGCTCGAATTGCATCTCAATCCCAGCCACGCGACTCTCCGTGTCTGCCTTCTCTCTCTGCGATCTCACCACCTCCGCCCCCTTCTCATTCACCTCCCGTCTCATCGCCTCCACCTCCGACCGCATGGCGCTGCACGAGTGCAGAAAAAAATTTACAACTATCCCGAAAACGTGCAGCAAAAAAAACACTCACCAAATCTCAGTCACTTGGGTCTTCAGACTCTCATTTTCCTGCTCCAAATAGTCCAGTCGCGCCTTTTCCTCCTTGTATATGTCCATTTCCAGGCCCTTGAACTCCGCGAAATCATCCAATTCCTTGCATTTGTTCTGATATCTGTAATCCCGACGGGAAAAAAAATGCCAATTAGCGTAGACCATAGAGGAGATGAACGGTAAACTCACAGAATCTTGTAGTTCTCTTTGGATTCAATGGAGTCCTCGAGACTAGGAAAAGTGATGTTGGGCGTGTGTATCTTATAGGAGTAATCGTCCACCTCCAGTTTCGGGGTCTTCAGCTGCCCCTGCTCTCCCTCCATAGCACAATCACAAGGAATATCCAATATTTTCACAGAAATCCAGAAAATTTGATCACAAAATCAGACAACGCCATACACCGATCACAAATTATACACTCGAATGCTGAAAAACGGTTTGTGCGTCACTTTTTCGGGGCCTTCGGAAGTCGAACTTCGAAATTCATGGCCGCATTGCGATTCATATCGAGATTTCATTGGACTGGCGTAGGACAAATCTACGCGTTCTGCATACATTCCATAATCAGCATTTCGTAATTATGTAATGAAATTTATTTCATTTCAATAAAAATGATTAATTTTGGAAATGGAAAGAAAGAAACATGAATGAGTTGAAGTTTCTCAAAATGCGCAAAATGCATAAATATTAACTGAACAATCTTTATGGAAATTTGAGTATCTAGGAATCTTGATTGAGGGCGAAATATGATCAAGAAACGCCTTTTGGATCGTATGTAATCACGGAGTTCTGTCTGAAACTGCAAAAACTTCAGAGGAAAACTCCGACGATTTGTCATACAGAAATCAACTCTCAGAATATTAGCTGTCGGGCTGCCGGGATTTTTGTTTTCAGATTGACAGTTTAGTAACCGCGCATTGGGAGTCCCCGTGAATTGACGTGATTATGGCCCAAAGAGCGGAAGTTCACGTGAATGTGGCTGATTACGTGGTGGCACGTGATGGAGCAGAAGCCATTCTAGTGTCTCTAGTGAAATATTTGGCCGTGCAGCGTCGCCAAATCCCGTATTCGTACACAATTCTGTGCAACTTGAGCGATCGTGTCCGGCAGCAGGAGACTGAAGCTCCGTCCTGGAAGGAATTCCAGTTGGATAAGCAACGGAAGCTGGTCAACAGCACAGTTTTGGGCTACAAGCAGCTCTTCCAGGTGAGATACATGGCTCTTCTCAAGGAATTTTCGTGTTATAATCCCCGTTTTCCATTTGTAGGCAATTCATGTGGCTTTTGCGAATAAAGTCCAGGAAGCTGTGCTGCTCTTTGGTGCCACAGCCTTCACGCCCAAGGAAGCGTGGTGGATTGAGTTCCCTGAGAGTGTGCAGAAACACGATCCGGGAGTTGTGCATCATGGGAAGGTGCAGGAGATGGCTGATCACACTGTGATGACTATTAGCGGTCGCCCGGAACTCTCGGAGAACATGTCGAGGGATTTTCATACCACTAATATGTACTTAATGCTGAAATTTGCCGGGGAAGCTCCCAAGGAGTCTCGCTTCCGGGAGGCATTCACAGAGAGGGATGTTTTGCACCTTCCGACGAGCTGTCACGTGTCCAAGATCACTCTCCAGAATGAACCCACGAACGAGACATTGGCAAATTGCTGTGCTGAGATGAGCGTCTTTGGATTCTCGGGATTTACGGGAAAGGCTCGAAGCTACGCGGATTTGTTCCGCCGAAACGCAACGCAGAAGACTGAAGAGAGTCGCTGGTACGAGTGTGCCGAGAGCGTGAAGGGATACAACCACGTCCTGGTGAAGGGAAAGGACATTTGGAATCTTTAGCCATTGGCTGTGTTATATTGAGAGATTGATGTCTGCCTTACTACAATAAACGACTCCTTGAATTAGAAGCATCAGAGAAATTTGTAGAGTCGCCGTCCTCCTCAGCAAGCTCCGACATTTCCGACATCTCCTCATCCTCCGGCAAGATGTCATCCGTCCTGTCTGAGTCACTGTCATCAAACGGACGCTCCTTGCGGCGAATCACCTCGCCGTGGACGTCTTTGTTGCGCAAGACGCCTACCCAGAAGGCCGAAGAGCAGTGATTAATGGTGAGGACTCTCTTCACGTGGAACACCAGCTTCTCCAGAGTCTCGCGCACGAGTGGAATCTGTCCCGCCAGGGCGGCATGATTGGTGAGTTTGGAGGTGCAGCAGAGCGAATTGCAGAACCTCGTTGTGTCCTGGAGATCTTTGATGATGTTCATCACCTGATCCTGGCGCTTCGTCAGGCAATTCTCCACCAGCGGAATGCCGTGCTGAAGGAAAAGCTTGAGAATCGTGTTGGCATTCTTCATGAACACCAAATTGTTGCCCGCCAAGTTGATCTCCTTCACGATTCCACGCAGCGAATCCAGCACCTGCATCACAGACTCCCACATCTTGAGATTCCCACTGTCGGACAGTTTCTCGCACAGCTTCCTATTGAGGACATCCACGAGAGATGTGCAGAGAGCGCGAAAGAGATGCGTGAAGTTGTTCTTGGTGAATCCGGGGAATGTCTTGAGTGTGTCATCGCGTCTCTTGAGCAGAGGAATTTCCTGCTGGATCCATTCAATCTGCTTGATCAGTTGCTTGAAGTCCGTCAGTCGGAAAACACCCTTCAGCAGTTCCGCCAGGAAGACATTGAACTGACTGCCCTTCTCAATGGCGCCTGTGCAAGTGTACCAGCGCTTGGAGAGGAAGTTCAAATGGAGACGCGTGAGAATCTCCTGATCCTCCTCTCGATTCTCCGCAATCTTCGTCAGTGTGTCCACGAGGTACACCATGTACAGCGCACTGCTGATCTCCAGTGCCAATTTCTCCCGCTTCAGCACATTCTGAATCGCCGCTGAGGCCAGGAGCTGCACATCTGTCTCAGCACTCTCGGCAATCACCTGGAGGCCTCGCTGCAGAAGCTCTGCGTTCTCAGCGAATCCCGTCCAAGAGAAGAGCGTCGCATAGAGACGCAGTGTAGTGGCGAAGCACGTTTTCAGGGAGTTCACGTTGATTGTGTAGAGATGATGACTCTCCAGGATTTCCTCGGCCGCCTCATGGGCGCCTTGCATCTCCTTGACAATTTCCGAAAAGTGCTGCTGAATCTGCGGCAGCATCGCCACGACGTCATGAATGAGAGCGTCCGGCGAGATGATGATCTGCAAATGGTGACACTGAGTCTTTCTCAGTCCCACAAAAGACTCCAGCTTGAGCACCAAATCCTCTACAATGAACTTGTACTCTTGCAGTCCAATGCAGCAGCCAATTCTCTCCTCGGTCAGGTTGTGTTCGGTGAGAAACTGATTCTCCAACAGCAGCACAATGTCCAAGTCCATCTGTCTGTAACTCTCCCGTGGGCCGTACGACATGGCGAAGTCCAGGGGCTTCTGATCAGAACGCATTCTCGACACCGAGGTGTCCTGAGTCTTTGAGGCGCCGGACAAGATCAATTGACTGGTCGTGTTGTCGGCACTCCTCTTCTGGCCAGCCTTCTTCGATGGACCGGCGATTGATCTGGGAATTGCGGGCTTCTTGAAGACGTGCTCCTGATATCGCTCTTGAGTGGCGATGAAGGTGGAATTGGGGGTGACATAAGTGGTCGGAGCGACTTTCAGCAGTCTCCGGATGTGTCCCTCAATCTTAATCAACTCCGTCAGTCTGATGAGGATCTGCTGTCGTATCTGCGGCACTTGTTGCGACGCGAAGGATCCAATGAGCTCGCGGAACCAATTGGCGGTGTGGAAGTACATGTCCAGGATACTCAAGCTCGTACTGTTGTCATAATCATTGTCGAAGAGATCGAGATCTTCGAGCGATCCCACGTGTTCAGGCAGAATCACGCCGAATCCACAGAGTCCATAGAGTGTCTCCAGACTGCCGTTGTCCAGACGGAATTGCAGAATGCGCAGCAGATTGAACAGCGGACAGAGAACTGTGATGGAGGATTCCAGCTGCTTGGGCGGCATTATGGTCAGCTGGCCAATGTTGATGGACATGCTAGCGTTCTCCTCTTCGCTAATCAGGCAGTACTTCTGCATGAATTCCAGCGCGCGACAGTCTGGCATGCCTTCGATGGTGAAGTACTTGGTGAAGTTGTCCACGAGGGACTCAGAGAGCCAGTTCATGTACTTCTTGTTGGGGAATCTCTTACTGTCGCTGGCATTACGTCGATTCGAGAAGATCAGCGCCAACTCGTCGTAGCACATAGCCAGAGAGTCAGCGCAGTTTCCCGATGTCACCACCTTGATCATCATTTCGAAGAGCACTGCCGCATCCTGAATGGGTCCCTCGGGAAAATCCTTTACGGATTGAATGGTGGTGTTGGCATCGAATCCCTGCGCAGCTTCCTCCTCCGTCGCGTGCCACACCAACTGCCCAATTGTCTTTACAGCCCCGACAATTCCCAGCCGGATGACCGAGATGCTGCAGTTGGCCAGCTGCTTCTTCACCAGCATGTCAATCTCATGCACCAACTCCTCCGGAGCCGTGCTCGGCGGCATTGGATAGGCAATGGAACAGAGAATGTCCATCAGGATGCGATACTGCATCAGCCCAATATCGCCAATATTCTCCTGAATCATCAGCAACTGCATCCCATTATTCTGCAACTCCGTGAAGTACTTCCCGCGAATCTCACTGAGCATCATCAAGGCCCTCGTCTTCACTTCCGGATCGGTCTTCTCGCACACCAAGCCCACGAGCCTGGAGAGGATCACTTTGCGATTGCATGCGTCTATTCCGAAGGCAAACTTGAAGGCCAGTTTCCCAATCTCCCAGATTTTACCCTTGCTGCGAAACAAGTGATCGGCAATCTCCAGGAAAATGCCCAAATTCTCCACGACAAAGTCCGGGAATTGCAGCACAACATCTCTGAGAAAGCGCCTCGTGAAGAGCTCCTCTGTGAATTTCTTGCGCATCAGAGACTCAATCGCAGCACTCTTGTCATCATTTGCCTCCATAATTGTCACCAGGATCACAAAGTCCAATGGAAAGTGATCCTCCGGCGTGGAGGAACTCTTGATGGACTTGATCCAAAGATCACTGAGCTTGGAGGACTTCATGAGGGAGATTTTAATGAGACTGAAGACGTTCTTGTGACTCTCACTCAACTCTTTGCGGCTCGCTTTTCCCCACTTTAGATGCGATCGAATGTTGGCGATCAGTTCGGGCAGGCAGTTTTCCTCATTGTACTTCAGCAGAAGCTTCGTGAATCGTGGATAGAGACTTGTGGGCGCTCCGCGATCAATGTACTGAAAGACCCTCTCTTTAAGTTCGTCCAGAAGAACCGAAGAGAGATTCATGTTGCCAAATGCATCCAAAGTGGAATCGTTGAGTAAATCTTCGTCCTCAGAGAGCATTTCCATCAGTTTCCGGATAATCGCGCTGTGCTTCTTCGCCTCAATCACGTCATCCAAGTGTCTTATGATGATTTGCTTCACATCCATCGGTGAGGACTCGAGTATAGATGTGATCTTCCCGAACACCATCTGTCCGTGCTTGCTTTTGTTGATGAACTTCAGCTGAGAGAGGCTCATTACGAGGATGCAGGCGGTCATTTCGCATCCAGAAGCCTTCTGGGCCAGCTCCTGCATGCGCTCGAGGAGCACAGAAATCAGCTCCTCCTGCAGGAAGTCTATCATCAAGAGATTCTTCATGAGGCTCTCCTGGGACTGTGGAAAGCCGTTGCTGTTGGGAAGGCTGACAATACAGACGCTCAGCGTCTTGGAGAGGAGATTGTCATTGGCCACGACACTCTTGAAGCCCCTGACGAACTTGCTGATGTTTGTGGGATAGTCTGCGCTGTTCTGTAGAGTGGTTCTGATCTTGTTGACAAACTGAATGTGATCGCAATCTGAAAATAAACAAATGCTTGAGCATCTCGCATCATGAGGAAGTCAATTCAGGGATTTCCAACCTATGAGATAGTTTTCCGGATGATCACACTTGGCGCCGCTCTTCTGCAGGACATACTCGTAGTAGGTGTCTGGAATACGGGAGCTTCCGGGAGCGGCTGGTGCGCCCATTTGTGACAGGAGATTCATGTTGCTCCTCTGGGAGAAATATCGGCGCTGACTTTGCGGTTGGCTGGAGGGAATGGACGACTGGCTGCCCAGCATATCCTCATCCTGAGATACAATTGCGCTCCAATTACAAGAATGTTCTCACCACGAGTGTGCTTGAGATGACCTACCAAATCCTCGACAGGAGATTTGTTCCTTTGTCTGAGGACGCCAGGTGCAGGCGTGTCGGGATGATCAGCTTCCTTGGCCTTCTTGGCGGTGTTTGGGAGGGTTCCCGTGCCCACTCGGTACTTCTTGCTCTTGTACATCTTTATCACTCCAATTTACAGTGGATAAACACGAAAAATCAAGACTTCACAGGTTCTTTTGCTCAATTGCGAAATTCCCTCCAAAATATCAGTTGGTCGACAAACACGCATGTCACGAACGCATCCGAACACCAGCCGAGCTCTTTTCTTCGGTGTCGGCCTTCCGGAAAGCCATTGTCGAAGAGTTCGGACTTCGTGGCGCGGCGATATGCGAATCCGAGTGCAGAAAACAGTTGAATTTGTGAGTTGGCCACGATTGGATGTGTTCTTGTGGTCGGTGCGTGCGTCTCCTGTGTGATGTGAAATCAATCTGTTGTCTATCCACTGCGAAAAGTGAATTTGTTCTGTGAAAGTGCTTGCAGTGATGCAGTGACGACTGGTGAGATAGATTCTCATTGGATAACACTGCTGGACAGCGGCGAGAGTCTGCAGAGGAGCGAAAAGACACCCTTGTCAATATGGCTGGTCCTATTTTTGAGGGTAAGTTTCACCCACTCGTCGAATTACAGCGAGTATTTCCGCGGAGAAAAGTGCAGTGTAGTGAGGATTTTGCCACTGTGGGGCACTCGTGGGGGTGTTGAGGGTCAGAAGTGGTGATAAAACCGTGGGATTTGTGCAAATTTCCCAAACGAGAGGGCGATTTTTCGCATCATCCAAACACACCCTTCCACCACAGACGCACGAGAACTCCCACACAGAGGCACTCGGCTGTTGTCTGCGCCGTGTCTCTCCGGGGGGAGGATTTCGCGCAAATTTTCCATGTCGCCCCCTGTCACCGGGGCGAATCCCTTCAGCTGATTCTGGCCCAAACAATCTCTGCGGAGTCCCTGAAACGGGTGGAAATTCGCTGAAAGAAATTCATCGTTGTGTGTCTTGTGAGTTGAGCAAACAGAATGTTCGCTCCCTTGCGTTTGGGAACACGCCCTGCCCTTAGAGCCCATCCCAACTTTCCTGCCCAGTTTCTGACCCAATTTTCTCAGCATTCTGTCGCTTTGCCTATATTGAGCAATCAAACTCTGGTAGAGCGATAAGGCTGTGTCCGGAACTCAGCAAGGCTTGGGGATCTTAATGTCCGGATGTGGGGAAAATGGGCAGGAGAGCAGCTGAAAAGTGTGTTTCTATCAGTGACTCTAATCATGCTGCTTGACTAGCGATTTAATTAATCACTGGTGGAAAAGTGTCCGACTAGTTGATTTATCAGGCAAATGTGAGAAACGAAGGCATGAATCGTGAGACAAAGTTGCATTTTATGTCATTAGAATAATTTCTTGTTAGACACTGAACACAAAACTCCATTCCAAGTCTGTCACATTCACAGCGCTTGAAGATAAATCGCGCTCAGCGATCGGTTGTTATTATTATTATGATTTTGTGCCACGAGTTTCGAGGATCTTCAACCCTGCCTTGAGTGTTCAACGTGGGACTTCTTTGTGATGTTGTGCCCCACCTTGTCACAGTTGATTCACTGTGAATTTCGAGTGACTGGGTGTCCCTCTCTAAAATTACCAATTTTCCTCCATGCAATCTACCTGACAATTATCAATTTCCGCTCTTGAACAAGTTTGCTAGAGAGTATTTCACAAAATGCTGTCCAGTCTGCATTCTCAGAGGAAACTCAAGTCAATATAGTAGTGAAGTAATTGAAGTCACGGTTGCTGTCTTTTTGGCACTTGAGTGTCATTTCACTTAATATTGCGCTGCGGATTTGCCAGGGTTATTAATCACAGATTAATGTAGCATTAGAGATTTACCGATAAGTAAAATGTTAGCTGGTGAATCTGTGCAACTGATTAGAAGTGTCACTTGAGCCCAATGTCAATTAAACAAACGAGAATCTCTTGAGCCACTTTCTCTATAAAGTTCTCAAAGCAATTTCCTGAGGAGCGTCCGAAGATTCATTATTTGTGCTGATCGATTGAGGGAGCAATTTAGGAAGAAACAGTTTTGATAAAAGCTTGACAGAGTGATTACGTAGTTTATTTCCACGCTGTGAATCATCATCGTGTTGAATTATGATTAATGGATGTGTTTGATGTTGAGGAAGAGTGTTTATTTCGAAAACATTAATTTTTGAATGAGTGTAGTGTTAAATGGCCCAGAGATATTCCCTGGTTATCACTCAACAGTGAGTTCGCGTGAATGTAATCAGGAGAAGAGAATGCAGTCATTGATGGTGAATCTCTGTGAATTATCCATCACTTTTGCCGGCGTGCGTCATGTGAGTTTACAGTGAATCTGTGGAATTTCCTCTTTGCTCATGCTCTTGTGGACCACTTTTTTCCACCTCTTTGATTCATTCCATCGACTGACGCGCTTTTTTGCTCCCTCTTGCACAATCCACATCGATGACGTGCTTCCAGAGAGAACTGCGCTGCTCAAGGTGGAGGAAGGAAGGTGGCGATGGAGGAGTGGAATCGAAGAAGCGACGCGCGAGATAAAGTCCACTGAAAACACGTTTCCACTTTAATTCGTGGAAGAGCGCGCGCGCCAAAAGATTTAGCTTCTAAATATGCTCTCAAAGTGACCACGGACAGAGGCGCGCATGAGATATTTGGAGAAGATGGGCGGGGATGAAATAGAACTGTTTCCATTAAGGCATTCCACGCGCGTAGATCGGCAAGTTGGAAAATTGCTCCTTCAAGACCACATCTCGCAGTCTCTCTCTCTCTCTTTCTCAATATTGTTTGTTGTGTAAAATGAATGATCATAAAATTCCAATTAATTCTTCACTTTCGTCTTTCATCTCGCAATGGCAGATGGACTTTATTTTTAGATACACTTCCCTTCATGCTCCACAGTTTTTTTGATTGTAGTGTTTTCCTCCAAAGATCGCTTGATAGTGTCTGTCTTTGCAGACCAAAAATTGCTGTGGATTCCTATGATGAAGTGGAGGTCTGTTCGTCTTCTTCTGAGCGAAGTGTATAATAATCGATTCAGCAAATATTTCTCTTATCAATCTCAAACAGTTGTCGCAATGTATTAAATAAATAGTTCTATTTTGTCTGTCAATACCAAGTTCAGGGGGGAAGGAAAGTGTGCGTGTGTGTGTGCAGTAAATGCTAAGGAAGGTCACAGCTCATTTCTTATAGTAATATTTGCTTTATCAGTTTTCTTTTAAATTTCAACAAGAAATTGTTTGATTGCCTAGAAATGGAAGAGTTTTTTTTTGACGTTCCTCTGAATTTTGGCATGAATCAGTGTTTCCTGGCTTACATTATGAGTTTCCGGCCAATTCAACTAATCCTTATTTGCTTTGGCCCAAGCTTCAAAGATTTGTATTTTATGATAGGGCTGTAAAAGTGTGCAAACCACCGATAGAGATAAAAGAGATAGTGGAAATCTCAGTAAAATTTGGATGAAAAGTCCCGAAGGCATCTCCGCACTTCCTCTTTGTCGCAAACGGAAGAACAAAGACACAGTGCGCATAGACAAAGAGAGAAAGGGTGTTTGAGGATTGCATTCTTTGTGTCGCTCGTCAGCAAAGTGAGACGCTTGAGTCAGCATAAAATTAAACCTTCAGCACGTGATCGGGCGTCGATGAGAGAATGACTCTATGGGAGGTTAAACCAAGAGGACATAATTTGGGTGCGTTTTTGCCTTACCTCGAGACATGATGAGGCGAACTAAATTAAATATTCCACGATGGTTACATAAAGAGATATGTTCACCATATGGCCATCTCTCTGCATTATGATTACAGCCGAAAAAAAGAGAGTAAAGAGGTATAAAATAAGCACGAATGTTGAGATGTGGGGACTTCCGAAAAAAGTGTGTTAATATTCATCTTCACGAAGGATGGAGGGAAGAGAAGCAATGAAGATTAAATATGGTTTAACCGGTGAAAGATGGAAAAAAACTATACCTCAGACAATTTAATCACTATTTAAATTCCATGCAACATTCAGAGGAGCGATGAGAGATGATAATTCCACAATTTTGTTTCATATTTATGCTTTTCCATTTGAGAATGGTGCATTGCAATAATGGAAATTGCTTTCATCGCTTTATCATCACAGTTATTACGTGCGATTTGGAATTGCGGAAAGATATTCGATGTCTATCAAAGTTCGCGGAATGTTTTTCTTTGCTCGGCAATAAAGAAATGGAATAGTGACCTCGAACGCGAGTCATATGGATTATTATTGGTGCTGTTCAATGAAAACACTGAAGTTGAATTGTATGCAGGCTCGACGAGACTCAATAACAGAGGCTGTCTGATGAAATGGCACCAAAATAAATAATCGCGCTTAATTATTTCCAGGTTAGCATCTCGACCACAGCATGTGGTGATGATGGCAAAATGGGGAATGAAGATTGCGAAAGTTTGTGTATTTGATAATTCAATTGATTTTCTTTCAGTAAAATGCGTAAAATATATATTTCATTATGCAAATGAATTTTTGGTGAATGAACTCACAAATCTTGAGCGCGAGGGGGGAAAATTCCTAACGCCAATTTTTGAGATATTTTTTCTCCTCCTGGTGAGATCGAGAGCAAACACCTCAGTTATTTTTGTTTATTTGAATATTCCTCGCACAACATAAATATCATATGGGGAGTAAACATGGTGCTAGTGAAGGGGGTTTAAGGGCAGACAGGAAAGAAGAAAGAAAAGCCGCAATAAAGCCCTGTGAGTGTAAACAACTTTCCATATTATACACTCTTGTTGTGAGTTAATCCTTCGACATTATGAAATTTTTTCACTCTCATCATATTTTTTGTCGTTAACTTTTATGTGCGTCTGTGGAGGAATGAAAAGAAAAAAAAATGTGTTGATTTTCCTGCATGTTCACTCTTTTACACACATATATCTATGCTCTAACATCGGAGCAGTTAAAAAAAAATTACAATCGCATTTGACTTTGTAAAAACATACAGATCTCACATTGTGATTACGAAAGAGAAGCTCTAGTGGATGTCTGCTAATTTAGTGCATTTCAACGAAAATGCCTAAAAGCTCGAAGAAAAAATCACCAAGTTTATTCTCCAACTGATTTATATGGGATGTTGTGAGTGAAAGACCTGGTGAAGAAATAGTGAAATTAAATATACGGAACTCTATCTTCTTTTTTTTTTGTTAATTCTCTCTCTTTCACGAATAAAATATCCGGTTTAACATTGTATCCGAAGACAGAGAAAAATTTGTTGTCACATTAAAATTCCACCAACATCAAAATTGGTGATGAGTTTTGTTTTCGGGGAAAAGTGCGCGTAAATAATAATAATGCAGAAAAAAGTGATTGTGGTGGTGAATTTGCTGACAATTTGATTACATTGAAGATGACAGGCAGATGGAAATATCAGGAATGACAAAGTCACGCCTGTGCGCGTTTGGGGAAAATAACACTTTGATTGAAGAGTATTTAATTTAGCGGGTTTAACCGCGAGGGATTATTTTTTTATTCATAAAGGGATTACACAGGGTGTGGCATAAGTTTGATAATCGTATTAACTTACTTATTATGTTTTGAATGCTTCTTGTGGGGTTGTAAAAAATTGATTGATGGACATTTTTGGCCTCTGAATTTGAACAATTTTTATCTAAATGCTCAAAAATTTGGCGCATGTCCTACAATAATAAGGATAGAGAGAAGTGTGTTTGTTTAATTTGGACTGACTTTCGTGATTGTTCATGCAAATGAGTGTCTCTTTGGCCTAGTATAACTGTTTTTTAAGGATGGGCGCGGTATCTCTAAACATAAACAGAAGTTCCATTTTATGCCATGCTATATGGCTGAAAGACGCTCATTTGGACATTGAGAGAGTGTCATTTTATCTGTGAGCGAAAACCTTTAAACCCGTAATGGTTGATCTATGCAAACAAATTTGATTTTTATTCTGCAATACACAACTTCAGAGAGGAGGTTTCCCGCATATATCACATTAATCATTTAAATGTCTTCCGTTCAGAAGTGTTTTTCAATCTTCGAGGCGACTAAATAAGTGCGCGACTGATGAAAAAAAGAGGGTCATCAAACTGCAGGCCGAAAAATGAGTCTCCAGTCAGTCGTCGGTTTATCAATTAAATTGCGGGAGGGCCTCGTCTTTTTCTGCTCTGACGCATTTCGATTAAAGTAAATGTAATTAAATGCTTCAATCGTTGAATTACAGTGTTTGCGGGGAGTATGAAGCCCAAAGGCGCCTCGCCTCGTATTTGATATTAGATTAAGTGACAGAGAGAGAGAGACTGATGGAGACGAGGGAAACGTGAATGTATTTTCCTCATTTTAATTTCACATTAGTAACATTGAGGCCTTCATCCAGACTGACTTTCACACCAAATATTGTCACCCTTCTGCCTGGATTTTGAGGGATTTTCCCATGAATTGGGTCAACGAACTGCGGTGGTGCATAAAGTGCAGGGATGAAGCCAATACACCCCTCAAATGCATCCTCTTCTTCCTCTCTGCCGTGCTCTTTAGCACCATCACGACCCCCGAAGTTTTTTTCTCTTCTCTCGCCTGGTCACGGGCAATTTATAAGGAGGAAAATACCATATTCAGCCCGTGTCTGTGTTCATTGTATTCATGTTAATCACGCATATTTTGGGTATTCTTGGGCCTCTTTTCACTGGGACAACGGCACACAAGAGAGAAGATTGAGCCGGTGGAGAAAGGAATAACAGAATTGATATTCAGCTGTGGGTCTGGCATCTTTTTTTCTCCCTGTGCGACTTGTGTTTTCGGTTTGAATTAACACCTGCTCAGGAGGGGATTTCAATCTGTTTTTGTCTGACTGCATATCCTCCTTTTGTGCTGGGTGGCTGTGCGCAAGAAAATCTGATATTACTCAAATTGGAGGCTGCCGGTGGAGAATTACTTGGAGTTGCCAAAGAAGGACTGCGATGCAGCTGCCGAAAATGACGGCAGCTGGTCATTAAAAAAAAGGCAGTCTGCTGTGCGTGAGTGTGTTTGTGAGGGTAACATTTCATGTTGGGCTTTTTAACATGACATGCGCCTTCCGCATGTGGAATATAATTTTCTGTGCCAAACACACCCGTTTAAATCAAATAGCATTTTGTATCACTTTTCACCCGCCTCACCATTTGTGCCTGTGATGTTGATGTTCCGGAGCCTTCGTTTGTCATCGGCTAATATTGGATATCTATTGGCTTGTTTTCTCCTTCTGTTTTGTGTCCTGTTTGATGTTTCAGTGCAATGTTTCAACAAGTTTCTAAGGGCTGTTTTGCCTGAGGGTCAAAATTTTTGAGAGAACACAATTTCCTCTTATCATTAAGAGCTCAAGATAAACAAGTGCCCGAGAGCGAGAGGTAAATGGCCTGAAATTGATATAAATTAAGCAGCTCAATTCTCATTCGATGCGATAAGCGAATATGAGGGTGAAATTGAGACATAAAAACCAAAAGCGAGGATGAGATTTGTAATTGAGACAGATGATGATGATGTTCTTCACTGTCATGCACCAAGGGCAGAAAAAATAGTCATCAGGATCCTCCTCGTTTTCACTCTCCCAGCACGTGCTTAAGGAGTGACGAGAGTGCTGTTCTTTTGGTACTGAACAAGGGTGGCGGTCTCTTTTTAGTGTTCTATGGCGTTGTAAAAGAGAAAAATGGTAGCAATTGAGTGGTTGAACAATTTTCAGGACAATTGGTTGTCAAGCAAATTTCCCACATCGTGATTTTCATGTATGAATTTAGAAAATCTCTCACCCTATATGTGTACTTCATTCTCAATTGTGAGGCCTTTGTCTTTGGTTGTCTCACTCCAGAAATAGAATCTCTTCAGGGATACACTTTATTAATAGTCGAATGTTGAGGGAAAATATGCGAGAGATGTTCTCGAATGGTGTTTGTCAGTGTTGGCGGGACGACAAAGAGGGGCAAGAGAGCCAATTGAACCTTCCTCTTGGCCTATTTGGTCTTTGGAAGATGTCGAAGCGATAAAAGTGGGGAGGAAATAATGTTTAAAAAATGTGTTTTACTGTTTTTATGCGTGGGCCACCAATAACAGCATCTCCATTTATTGGGTAATATTTCTCTCCAGCGTCCAAATCAACAAATAATTCATTTCCAACCTTTTCTTGGCACTGAAGATGCTGAGGAAGCTCTGTGGTGATTATTAATAGATCACACGCATTCAGTGGTTGGAGAAAATTTTAAGAGACTCGTATTAATTTGACGCCATAAATAGATTGAGAGTTAAATGACGTGGGGAAGTGAAGAGAGGAAGAGAGATTAAGTTGGGCTTCGGAGACAGGTGATGTTGCTGCATCATTTCATTGCGACTTGGAATGCTTTCCACCCGCAAAAACATACAATCATACCGATATTCTGGCATCCTCCTCTCTGCATCGTACGTTAGGGCTTTTTATTGAATTTGCGCTGAACGGTGGGTGGAGAGCGTAAATTGATTTTCTGCAAAATTGAAACCACAAATATTGGGAGGAAATGACATTATGTACGTGTGTGTATCGCATGAAGAAGATTGTGTTATGTGTCATGGAGTGTTGCAAGTGTATATATTTGCAAACTAACAGATTTTTGTTCTTCTTTTCCAGGTCGAATGGGTTCGACACCGGATAAAGGAGTTCCTGATATGACATGCATATCGGATATTGATGAGAATGGCATCAATCGCAACCTCAAGATACGATATCAACGCGATGAGATCTATGTATCCTTTTGAAAAGACTTTCTCAGACTGAATTATTATGTGCGTGTGAATGTGTGACAGAGTTACGTGAGTGCATTGGAAATTGGTTACAAAACAAAGTATTTCAGTGCTATTTTTGAGATATAAAAAAAATCAACGAGTTGAAAATATGAGGGGGAGAAAGACTCATCAATAGGCCATCTATTAAATCACACTGGGAAAGTTTACTTTAACATTTCATGTCAAGAATTATTCACTATATTGAGTAGTCTTTTGGGTAACACAGCGACATTTCAGTTTACCCACTTGTGGTATTGGGAAAGGTTCGAGGGTGGTTTGCCAGTATGTTTTTGGGGGAAAAAGTTTTTTTTTTATTAGAATGTGTAAAGCGGCAAAGAGTCCTCGAGAAAAGAATGCATATGAGATGAAATATTTCGATAAAAAAAGAGATGAAGGAAAAGATTTATAAATATGTCACTGTGTTATTTTATTGCTTGAATATTTTATCATATGGAGGAGAGATTTTTTTTGTAATATACCGGGTGGACCAATTGATTTGGCAACTGTTAAGGAGAATGTTTTAATAACTACTTAAGAGAAGATTTTGCTTAATCATTCGTATCACACTGTGATGTTTCTTAACGGAGCTTTTATATCTTGAATCCTCAAAATTTATCATTCAAATTTTTCAAATAATCATCGAACAGCTAGAATTTATAGGAATGTTCAGATTCTTGTCTCTGTGACGCTGAGACTCAAAAGAACAGATTTTTGGGCAAGATTTACAATCTTTTGTCACCATCTTCTGTATCAATTTATTTGAGTTTAAAATATTTTCCACCACCACGATGAGGATTAATTCTATCACTGATTTCTCACTGACTAAGTTATTGATTTTTCATAAAATTCACTTAATGCTAGCAATTGGCAATACAGTGTTGAGGACATTTGTGTTTGCTGGCAAAGCAGAGAGAATGAGAGTGTGTAGGCGTTGGGTGCGAGGGCAAAAATCCATAATGCCAGTCGGGAATGTGTGGAGGAATATGCGAGGGTGGTGTGCAGCAACCCTTCGTCATAAACACCCTCAAACTTCATGTCTGGGTTTTCCCCATGAGTTCGATAAATATTTTCCTGCAACCACTTTTAAATTGCTTCTGTGTGTCGGTCTCTTTTTCGGGAATTCAATTTCAGTCCATCATATCTTCTTTAATATTTATCACTGCATGATTATTCATAAGGGCGACAAATGGGGGATAGTGACGTGAAAAATGGTGTGAGACGAAGTAATCTTTAAGGATTTCCATTTATCAAAATCAGACACACACACCGAATGCTTTGATGTGAATTATTTAAGTGAAAAATGTATAATGTACATATGGGGCGAGGGAGAGAATTCCAGAGGTTATGGAGAAGAATTTCATTTATATGCGCTCTAAATTCCGGTTGAAGATCATTAGAGTATCTCGCGAGGGTTGACTGGGATTCTCAAGGGCAAGGGAGGGGAAATATTTATCATGTCAATTGGGTGAAAAAGAAGTGAAAAGAATTCAAGTGTGAGCTGAGATGGTGGGGAGAAGTTATGTAGATGATACAATTAAATGCTACTGGCAAATTGTTATCACCATTGGCAATTTCCGTTTCGTTGAAATAATGTGCTGTAACTCTCGGTGAAGATAAATGTCTCATATATATGTGTATGCCTTTCCTTCACACATGCTTGAACAGCAAATTGTGCAAATGTGCAACGGAGAGAGAGAGAGAGAGGGACACATGAGCTGTGAAATGAACAAGACAAATAAATATATTGGAAAGAGAATTGGAAGAAGGTCGACAAAATTCTTGATATTTTTTTTCTTTCTCATTTCGTCTTGTATTTCAAGCACTCATTTTCATTCTTTTGCCTTCTATTTTTGTGTCTGTACAGTATTTTTTCTTATTGCCTTCTAGAAGTCCAAACAAGAGTTCTCTTGTTTCCAAGTTATTTGACGAACCTCATATTGGTTGTGTTATATGGAGTTGGATGGTAAAATGAGCAATTTACCACTAAACACCACTCTTGAGTGTGGAGTTGTTAAGATAAAAATCACAACAATTAGGTCTCAATTTGAAAATATATACACTTGCAGTATAGAAAAGAGTGCAACAATATTGCCGACACATTCTTGGTGTGCTAAGTGGGTAAATGTGGATAAAAATGCTGAAAGAATGCTGAATAATTAATAAGCACACTCATTTCAACAATGATCCTCGACAGAGAGGCTGTTATGTGATATCAAAAATCATAAAACCGAGTGTGTTAATGGCAAAATGACCAATTCTTTACTTTCAATTGTGTACTCTTAGCGCAATCAGGATGCGTCAAGTGGTTGGAATTTGATGCCAGAAAAGGGTTAGAGAGACATAATATATGAGAGCAGCGCAATAAAAATGGGATGGAATTGTGAGTGAGATTGCATTTATTGCCATATATGTTGAATTATGAGATGGGGAATAAAGTGAGAGACTGGAAAATTCGTGGGTGAGTCATGGGTAAGATAAACATTCTTCAGAATGATGATATCAAGACAGACGCTATAAAATTCATAGGTGTGTGAATAATTTATCAAGAAAAAAAAGTTCTCAGTTGAGATTCTCAAGAGTCTTGGCTACAAAATGGAACGGGCTTCATGTGTGATTCGTGGAAAAATACTCCCCAAAGAGTTGGTAACATTGCATTTTTATTATTGTATCCACCACTGCAAGTGGGAGAGAACAAGAGAGTCAGTGATTTTTCGAGTGTGTATTTTCTTTTGGTATAAAGGAACTCAATGAGAAGATATTTTCCGTTTTCTCGCCACTTTTTTTCCCGTATCGCGGCAACATGATTTTGTACATTTTGTATTTTCATGTAGGTGATATTTTTCTCGAAACAAGATTCATGACCGGCAATGAATTGAGTGTGTGGGTTTTGGAACAAATACTCCAAATACTTTCTGGTGAAGAGATACGGAGAATGTTCAATATTTAAAAATAGACTCTGCGAGATCCCTGAAGGGAGGCTCTCTGGTCGGAATGCTTTCAGAGATGGAATTCCACGATTTGCTGAATAGATAATTGAAGCACATAATTTAACTGAATATGTGGGTGATTCCAATTTGCAATACTCAACAACAAATTCAATGATACGGTATGCTGTATGTACTTCTTTTGTGAATATTGCAATCAAATAAACATTATTCCGTGACGCTCTTTTTTCCCTCTACATTGTTCACTCGCGGGCATGCAGAATATGGTAAAGAGAGGAGACACAGTGAGATCGACAGTGAAGAATGGAGTATAAAGGGAAAGAAGAAAAATATTCAAACAATTTCTCTCTAATTCAAAGAGGAAGGCGCATATGTAGCGAAAAAAAAGAAGAGTCAAGTGGTGAATACAGTCAATGGAAATTGATCTCTTCATCACAATCACTGTGCATGAATAAAATGTTGTAGAACAATATTGGCGGGAAAAAAAGTAAGATAGCGAGACGATCGATAAGGTCACACTCTGTATGATGTACTGGGTAGTCAATATTCAATTTAATTGATGTTGTACAACTAATCAACGTTTAATTTAACGGTAGAAGTAATATTTGGGCCAATTTCACGATAATCATGCCTGCGGTGAGACTCAGAGGGTTTCCAAAGAGGTGACTCTTCGCTGTTCTCATGGTAATTTTCGCACTAATAGTGTGTGCGAATATCACAAATGAGATGACTTTGGCGCGCCGGGTGGGAGAAAATTATGTTAAACATGCTTATGAGGCGAATGAATGAGATTCATAGTGGCTTTTCAACGTCTCTTATCAAAGGCATTATCACAGTTTTCACCGCTTTCTTATATGTGAGATCGGGAAAAAGTGTCACGGAGGTTTTGAGAAAACCGCGCACTGTTGAAGAATGTGCGATAATATCAATGTGATGTGTGAATTATGTAACCAATTTCTCTAAGTGAACATGTCGTTTGAATGTTGTGCGATAATGTGAAAATGATGGAAGTATATTAATTTATCTGGTTTAGAGAATTGAATGCAATTTTCCTTAATGACCATCAATAATCAAATAGACCTACACTGGAACAATTCTTGTTGCTGTCAATCCCTACAAGGAAATCGACTGTTACTCCACGGTGAGTTGGATTATTTCTTTACGAGATTTAGCCTTCTGCAAAGGAGGCTCTCTCGGATAGTAATTTAAAAGATAGTAATTAAATCAGTTCACGGTATTTTATGCTGATGACTTTTCTTCCTATTCCAATGTGGATGGAAAACACTTTGTGTGTTTTTCTCACTTTCTCAGAATTTGTAAGAGTCATTAAAGTGCTGTATGCAGAGTCTCTTGGGGCTAATGTCAATTTACATGGGAGACCCAATGGACTCTCGGGAGCCAATATCGTCAATCTTGTCACATGGGGCATTGAGAAGAAGTTGTGTGTGTGTGTTTGAAGAGTAAAAAGATGCAGCACAGAAATCTCTTGTCCTCTATCTATCAAGAATCTCTTCTAAGCCATGTGTGTCTGTTAAATCGATTGAGTGTGGCGTGTTTGTCCTCTTGAGAATATGAAATTTATTCGGTGAGGGAGAGTGAGAAATTGTATGAGATATTGACCTCATAAGATGCATATAGAGTGTAATGAAATAGGCGGCTTATGGCAAATAGATTGAGATCACAGAGATGAGGAAAAGTTATTTATTAAACAGAAATGTGTGGAATGTAATCCTTAAGTTGTTCCATTGAATATATGGAGAGAAGGAAAAAAAGAGAGGAGAAAAAAATCAAAGAATTTCAACTGCGTGTCCCATAAAAACAGATTAAGATCTAACAGGTTCTTTTCTTTCACAATTGATAGTCTTAGAAAGTTTTATTTCTTATGTTCTTGGCCGATGGCGAGTTGACGACGCGGTCTTTGAACCATTTGCCCTTTTTTTCGTCAATTATCCACGGTTGGTGTCAGGAAAATTCAATTTCCTCTCATCATTGGCATGGAAAAAGAGAGTGCGCGCGATAAAAATGGGGTTGAGGAATGAGCAAAAAGGCGGGACGTGGAGTAATTTCATATTGATATTCATAGAGCATATCAATTTATTGAGCGATGTTTGTATTCTCGAGAAGTTCTTTCCTCTCTTCCATGTCTTCTGGTTGCTGTTTGAGACAGAGATCCACTATATTTCCACTTCCGTTTTCTGATGAGTAATTTTCTTGGTCTGTAGATGAATTTAACATGTCATATGACGAGATATGCGGTGGAATTGTTGTGTTGAATTGGTGAGAAGATTCATAACGAAGTTTACAACGTGTATCGGATCTGGCATCGCCAGGGGTTCCAGTGGAGGAAAAAAATATGCGTATGTCATGATACTAAATGGTTACAATGATCAACACAATTTCCCACAGTGTAAGAGAGAATATTTTTCAATTCACAATTTGTAGCGAGGTGAAGATGGATTAATTGCATTTCGTTTAACAATTGTTAAACTTTTTCTACCGTGCAGCATATTAGTCGATGATTTTTATAAGCATTATTTACAGCCATTCCGCATTCTCACACGTATAGCGATTTAATCTCACGGGGCTTCATTTGGAGAATTGAGAAGAAATTAATTAATCAACACTCTACGTGATCAATACAGAGTGAAAATGGTCCGTTTGTCCCTAAAAAAAGAAACATCATTATCTTGTTCGGAACTTATCACCTCAACTGATCCGCTATGTTGTGTCGCCTTTCTTCTCCGTTGGCGATAATTAGGAGAGAAATATTCAAATCTCTCGTCATTCAATTTCAATGAAGCCATCGACAGAGGAATTTAATAAATTCACATATAAATTAATTTATTACACTATTCAGTTTTCAATCAAGGTGCGCGAGAGTGAAAAGCCTGCTGGCTTTTCTTTGTTTCACAGGAGAAAAAAAATCCCTCATCATTGTTGGCACATTTGCAGATAAGAAAAACCACGTGTGAGCGTCTTTCTTTTTTCCACCATTAATTACATTGCCAAAATCTTCGCATCTGCACTTAATCGCAATTCCAAACATGTGAGGAATATTTTTTATCTTACCTGAGAAATCAATTTTCATGCACTGGGCTTTAATTCGCTACGCAGACAAAAACGTGTTTGTTTGCTGAAGGTAATGTGTTTGTATATGAGGGAGAGAGAGAGAGAGAAGGAAGAAGAAGTTTAGTAAAGAACGCGTTGAACATCAAATTGGAACAATGAAAGTGATTTTTTATTCCTCTGTCTTAAAGGTAATTTTTTATTTTTTATTGTAGCTCCGTCGCTGTGCCTAAAATAAAACAATATATCGAAGAAAAATTCAACAAAGTGTGAAATGAACAATTTTTTCCCATCATTGTACTTTAGCTTCAGCTCAAATGAGTGCTTAGAGATGATTTTTCCAAGATATATTCTGACTAGTGAGTCCATTAGTGAAGTCTCATCCCCAATTTTATTTATTCCTTCTCCATTTGACTTCTCTGCAGTGCAATAATATAATTGTGTGGAAAGAGTCGCTGTGCTTGAATCTCTTTTGCCAGTGTCGACGAGAATGATTTCTTAGAGGGATTGTGCGACGTGTATTGTTTCTCATGTAACCCTGAAGATAAACAGTCCGCACGAGAGGGGCGATGTCAGGGAACAGAGGAAAAAAAAGTATGTATGGAGAAACACCAGCTATTGCGTATTGCATTTAGATTTTTGTATGTTTGCTGGTGTACGGGGAGCATGTAGCATTTATACCTGGGAGAAGAAATGGAAGAAGTGAGCGCGTTGACCTCAACTTTGGTTTAGATGCGCAGGCGGATCGGGTTTTAAAAGGTACATATTACACACATTTATATGGCTAATATTAGTGATGGAATGAGGTATAATTTTACGTGAATATGGGAGGGAAAAAGGGTCGTGTTCACAAAATGCATACAATTTCGCTGCAGTTTCTAGACTCGCGCGGGTCGCCTATTCTTTAAACTCTCTTCATGATGACAACAAGAGCGAGAGATACACGCTGAATTGATTATTCATTGAATGTCGAGGGAAATGATAAATTGAACGATAAATTTTCAAATGTGAAAAACGATCCTCCGACTCTTAAGCCTCATATTGTTCTCGCACTGTATCTTTTAATATATTGTTTAAGACTAAAAATAGTATCTTGCAATGCAATTGTTTTCACCATACTTTCCTAGCAACGCTCTAAAATGCACTCTCAACATTGGCACTATCGTATAAGCTAATGGGGAAAAAAATATCTGGACTATCAATCAATTTATGGCTTCTCGAGCATGTAATTGCCAATGTGGATAAGTTGGTTTTTATTTCTAGTCTGAGAGATATTCTCTTCTACGCTTTATTTAATATTCAAGAATTCAGCAGAGTTGTATTTCATAATGGATTAGGAATGCTTTATGAACTTAATGTGATTCAGAGAGAGAGATGATGGGATTTTATCCGGGAATATGTTATGTGAGGAGAGACATGAAATTCTGATACTTGAAGAATGAATCAGTAGTCATTTTTCAGCACCGTCAAATCTTGCACGTGGAATTATGCAATTGGTTTAGTGACCCCGAATATACATAAATATTACTACTGTAAAATGAATAAATGCGTCCCAAATTTGTCGAATGCCAAAAGACACACGACAGCCATCCAAAGTCTTGCTGGAAATCTCCCAAAAGTTTCAAACTCAGTGTTGTGTCCAATGCAGACGCGGTTTCCCCCTTCAAGTTAATAAATAGCTTCGCATAGCAGCAGATTAATCATGTGCTGAGCGATGGAAGGAGGTGAAACAAAGAGATAGAAATTGGCAATGAAAAGTTTCCTCATGATCACACGTGCAATTGCTAAGTACAGGTATTATGAGGTCTCTGAGGCGAAGTCCGATTGCGATGATAAAGCTGGGTGGTGAATTATAGATAGATGGAGCTGTTCAAGAGAGTGGGTCAATCGACACGTGCTCTTGTGCAGGAAATTCAGTGGATTGGAAAAGAGAAATGTGTCATTATCACCCTCAAATTCTGTGGGCTGTATTTCGCCACTTCCTCTGAAATTTCTGCTCATTTCCATGTGCGTGGCAAATGTGTGATTAGTCATTAGGCGTTTTTGCTCTATTCCAGGGTAGATTTGCCATAATCTTCACATATGTTTTCTCAATGTAAGCAAGTTGAATGTCTTGCTATTTAAATAGAGCGACAAAAGGAGTATATGTGTGAAATAGTGTGTGAAAGGAGAGGAAAAGAAATAATCAGTTTTATTGCTTGTCACATGGTTGGTTGTTTGTGAATTGAAATGTTGGCGATATAGAATGATGATTTTTGTCACATTTCCATCTGTGCGAAATTGACTATCTCTCTCCATGTGTAAGTTTTCTTCTCTGGATGCTATGTTTATAAATAAACACGGCGTGAATTGGCCGAGAGCTTTCATGAATGGAGCTTTTGTGGGGTCTCTCTGGGGCGGACGGAAATTGATTTTATGTCTGAGCATGTGTCGAGTTCGTTACCCCTCCCATTTCATAGGCACAAACTATACCTTTGCCTCTGGTCGTGGGTGTGAGAGAGAGAGAGAGAGAGACTGGGTGAGAAGGTTGGGTGACTGATTGTGAAAATCGCAATAGGGCATCGCATAGAGTATTTTTTTACCTGCAATATAGGTCACCGAGGAGAAATTACTCTGTAAATGCCTTCTTCCGCCTTCAAGAGACTGTTATTAATTTAATATAACATGGCCAAGAGGTGTGAGTTGCGTAGAGAAATATATCCTTGCTTGGTGAAGCAAAGAGTGAGAGAGAAAAGAATTGCTTTCCTTCTGAATTATTAGTCACTTTGGGGTTTGTGCGAGCTTTTCGGGGGATTTGTAACGATATCGTCTGCCACACACAAATTGATTGAAGTCACGAATTGTTATGATTGAGAGGCCGTTTTCATTTCATAAGATATTTATTTACAACTCCACTGTGATTTCCAATTACAGAAGTATGTGATGAAATACCATGGGCAGAAGTTGGGCGTCTTGGAGCCACACATTTTTGCCATTGCCGAGGCGGCGTATCGCAATCTCAAGGAGTACGATAGGAATCAGGTGAGGAAATGTATTCACAAGTCAGTCAATGACCTGGAAATGCGAGAAATGTAGAAATGAAATAATGAGGGAGGCTCAAGAACAGCGTGTCAATATATGTAAAATGGTGTATTTTATGTCTCTTCTCGCGGGCAGTCTTGTGTCATATCGGGTGAATCGGGCGCTGGCAAGACCGAGACGACGAAATTTGTTCTTCAATACCTCTGTTCTGTCACCTGCGATGTATCAACATGGGTACAGCAGCAAATCCTCGAGGCGAACACCATTCTTGAGGCGTTTGGTAAGAGAGGCAAAAGCAATACAATTATCTCAATGGGTGGTTTTTATCGCAAAGAGTGTGAGGAGGAGTTCCAGTTGAGGAAATTGATTTAGTTTTGACCCCTAATTTGATTATTTAATGAGTGTGAAGATCTGATTACAAGGCGGACTGGCATTAACTCATCGCGTTATGCCTTCCTTCTTTCTGAAATCATTATTTCTAATTGAGTTCTTCAAGAGTGAGAGAAAAGAGAAAGAGAGTGAGATTCAAATTAGCCGCCGCCTATCTTGCCTTTTGAAAGCATAATAATACATATACATACTTAGAGGGTGGGAATTAGTGAATTGTATGGTTTAATCTCATGCTAAAATCATATTCTTTTCACTGTCTCTTCATCAGGTAATGCAAAGACCATTAGGAATGACAACAGCTCGAGATTTGGCAAATTCATGCAAGTCTGCTTTGATGCAAAGTGGTGTATTAAGGGATGTATAATTCAGGATTATCTTTTGGAACAATCTCGCATAACATTTCAAAGTCCTGACGAGAGAAACTACCATGTTCTCTATCAACTTGTTGCTGAGGGCAAGGTGAGTGGGATGTTGTGACCGAAAAAGAGGCCCATTGATCATTAACCCCGTGGTGTTGTCGTGTCAGAAACACTCACCGACTATTGCTATATTTACAACACTTTTTGCACTCTTCATTTTGTGATTTTGTGGGAGTTGTATACAACTTTCGAGATGTCATGGCGTCTAATGAAAGTATTTATTACGACCGAAAGTGTATCACAACTCATGAAAAGTGTTATTAAGTAATGAGTTTTCTCTTTCGAAAGAATCTTGACGTTCTCCCCAAAGTTGTGAATGAAGAGACACTTTTCTCCGCCACTGGTTGATGAATGAAATGGAGAGTAGTTGGGTGGTGATATAATTAAATTGTCGTCTGAAATTGTCTCACGCATTTCCACCCTCTTGGCAGAATAATAAGGAGCTGTCCGGTGTACTTCATCTACGTGATCCTTCCTTCTATCGCTACTTGAATGCATCTGGTAATGTACAAATCGATATTCCACTGGAGTCTCGACGCTTCGAAGCCCTGAGACTCGCATTCACAGTGCTGCAAATACCACAGCCCATGGTTGATGGTATCTTCCGTGTACTTAGTGCCATTTTATGGTTGGGGAATCTCAACTTTGAGGATGTCGATGGGGAGAGGTGCGAATTGGCGGCGGAGGACAAGCAAATAATTGCCATTGTGGCTGAACTCATGGGCCTGCAAGAGACTGATGTGCGACATGTCGCCCTTATGCGACAAATTAATGTTCGCGGAAATATTACGGAGATCCCATTAAAAGTTCAAGAGGTGATTATGCCCATTAAAAATTGCCATAAATGAAATTATTAAATGTGTGTGTCTGTGTTGATTGATAAATCAAATGATGCTTGCGTGATAGAAATGTTAAGTGGTTTTTGTTCCAACCCTTTTGCCCCCTTTTCTTGCAGGCACGTGAAAATCGCCATGCCATGGCCAAGGCGCTGTACTCGAGGACGTTTGCATGGCTCATTAATCATATAAATACATGCATCAATCCTGGCCAGGATGCCACGAGATTTCTCGGGGTGTTGGACATTTTTGGCTTTGAGAACTTCGATGTGAACTCCTTCGAGCAACTCTGCATCAATTACACTAATGAGAAACTCCATAAATTCTTCAATCACTACGTCTTCGCGCTTGAACAAGAAATTGTGAGTACACAATGATTAGGTTTTCGTGATGCAATTGATACATTTTATTGTTCGTGTGTTATTTTTTCTTTTCTTTTTCTTGTCTTTTGCCCCGCAGTACAAACAAGAGGAGATAAAATTCTCACACATTCAATTCACCGACAATACACAGTGTCTGGAGTTGATTGAGAAACCACCACGATGTATTCTGAAATTGCTCACGGAGCAATGTCACATGCCAAAGGGTTCAGATACGGCCTATTTAACAAATTTGCATGCAGAATTCGACGGACATGCGAGATATGTGAAGGTATGTTTTGCCAAAAGTTCACTTCCAATGCAGTGAGCAAGAGAACAGAGACAATTTATCTTACTTATGTACATATGATCGAAAACATTTATTCTCATGCACACTGCAGCCCTTTTAACTGAATCATTTAGTTCCCTAAATATTTTGCATGACGCCAGAGACCGTAAAATTGATAAATTGATTAAAACAAATTGAGTTAATTTCTTTTTATTGCCTCTCCCAACAAATCACCAGGGAGCGGATCGTCGACACTGGGAATCGGAGTTCGGCATAAAGCACTATGCGGGCTGTGTGAGCTACACCGTGAAGGGTTTTGTGGATAAGAATCGCGATGTGCAGCAAGACGTGCTGTTTGACTTCATGAGCCGCAGCACAAATTCATTTGTGCAGGAAATGGTGTCCTTTCAGGATCTCCTCTCGATGCAATCCCAGCCGCCACCGCCACCGCCACCAATTCCGGGCAGTGCTGTGCAGAATGGACCACCTAATGGTGTGGGAACGGTGCAGAGAGGCACGTCCAAGGGGAAGCTCACGGTGAGCGATACTTTCCGGCAGCAGTTGCAGGCTCTCGTAGATGTGCTGCAGAGCACGAATCCGTGGTATGTGCGGTGCATCAAGCCAAACATGCAGAAGTTGGCGAATGACTACAGTGACGAAATGGTGCTGGATCAGCTCAAGTATCTCGGCATGCTGGACATCATTCGGATCAGGCGCGAGGGCTTTCCCATTCACATGACGTTCGATGAGTTTGTCCACAAGTATCAGTGTCTGACGAAGCGCTTCGGGCGACGGAGCAGCCAAGAGCAGGTGTTGTCTGTGATAAAGGAGCTCAATGTGCCATCGACAGAGTGGCAATTGGGCAAGACGAAGATCTTCCTCAGGGGTCTGGTGCATGAGCCACTCGAGGATGCTCGCAAGCAGGTGATCAACGGCAAGGCGGTGATCATTCAGACGGCGTGGCGCCGCGTGATGGCCAGGAGGAAGTATGTGCGCGTGAGGAGTGCAGCTCTGAGGATTCAGCACGCCTACAAGGGCTGGAAGTCGCGCATTGAGTTCCTGCGATTGCGACGGGCGGCGATTGTGATTCAGAGCCACTTGCGTGGGGTGTTTGCACGTGAGGTGGCGGCGGCCCTGCGTGAGATGAGGCGCGTGGAGGAGGAGATGCGAAAGCGGGAGCGTCTCGAGGCGGAACGGAAGCAGAGGGAGGCTGAACTGTCGGCACAGCAGGCCGAAGAGGAGCGTCGAGCGCTGGAGGAGTGTGAAAAGTACGTTTTTCTCATTCTTAATTGCTTGCCACCTTCATTTTGCGCTATCATTTCCCTTCCACTGATTTCCTCTCTTATCTGCCCACCGTAAAATACGAAGAATTGTGCGTTTATGCACTTGAGTGCTTTCTTTAGTGTGTGAAATCTCTCTTGTTTTTCTTTTTATTATCACTTTGTGGTGCATTAATTTTGATAAATTCATCTTCACATAGGCATAAACTATACTATTTTTTTTGGCTTACTGTGCATAATGCATTCTTTCTCTTATCATGTGCCATCTGTTCACTGGCTGTCTTAGTTTCTTCATTCCTTGTTTAGTTGGTAGATTCTTAGGTATTTATTGCTAAAAATTACTTGAACTTTTGAAAGCATGCGAACTTATGGGAAAAAGTTACGAAAGAAGAATGGGTGAGTTTATGGAAAGTATGTGAAATTTAATGTTGATGCTGGAATTTGTAGAAGCTGCTTTGGATTTTGGGGGAGAGTAAAATATGGAATGTTTTTCATGTAGTCACTTTGTGGAAGTTTTCATGTGTGCCTTTTGAACTTCATCACAGCTAATTTGTACTTCTTCTCTCGTCTCTTTCCCGACACGCAGAGCTGTTAAGCAGGAGATGTTGGCACTGTCGCAGATGGCTGAACAAATTAACTCGAAATTCAATCATAACAACGCCGATACCGGACAAATCAACGGAAGTTACCAGTCGTCGAGCAATCAGAGCAGCGAATCCGTGGATCTGGACAATCTGTTTGCCTTCCTCAGTGAGGTGACGCCCAATTCCAATGTCAATGCTCTGATTGATGAGATTGGAGAGAAGATGGACAATCTCGTGGAGGATCTCGATGTGGAGCTGGAGTCGGTGATTCAGCAGGAGATGGAAGGATTGGCGCTGGAGAGGCCACAACCGCAGCAACAGATGCCTCCGCCTCTGGGAATGCCGGCGCCTCCAGGGCAGCAAGCGAGTGCTAAGGGAATGGGAGTTCCTTCCTTGCCCGAACCGACAATGCCTCCACCTCCGCCGCCAATGACCAACGGCCCAGCTCAACCGCCGCCGGCTCATGTGCCGAAGATCGCGGGAATCTTAAGGAATCGCGGCTCAGAGCCCATCTATGAGGCTCTAATCACCCGAGAGGAGTTGCCCACGGTGCCAGAATTGCCTGAACCTCCAGCCAACTTCGCTGAGAACACCAATCACAAGTTGCGACCAAAGAGTCCTGCCATCGCCACTGTTCGCTCTGCGAGTCCCGTGCAGCGATCCTCGAGTGGGCCGCTGAGTCCATCGTCGCCGAAACACAGTCGTCCCAGTTCCAGGGCCTCCTCCACGGGCGGCAGTGGGCATCCGCATGCGGAGCGAGAGCAGAGGAGGAAGTATCGCGTGGAGAAGAAGCTGCAGGAGATGCACCAGATCGATGCCAGCGAGAGGGAGCGTGACGCCCTCAGGGATGACATGTACTATGACATTCTGGAGTTTGCTGAGAGCAACTTCAACACCCACGAGCGATCGCCCGAGGGCACTATAATGGCCACGCTGACACGCAAGGGACGCGGCAAGTCAGCGGAAAATGTGGTGCCGAAGTACGAGATGATCACGTACTATCGCGGCACCTCAATTCCCACTTCGCACATCCACATGTACGATCCGGAGAATGTCAGTGTGGCGTGCACGATTTTCCGGGATCTGTGCAAGTACACGCGCGGAGAGTTGAATGCCGAGCGGGAGCTGCAGGTAAATGGAAAATGACCCAATTTGCATGGAGGGAACTTTGTAAACTTTTAATGAGGGTTGTGTAATAGTCGCAGAATTGATTGCAGTGAAACTTGGTGAAATGCGTTGTCTGTGGGAAGGCAATTGTGGGAATATGAGCAAAGCTGCAAAGTGTAATGGAAGGGAGATAATGCGCATTCTTATGATATGAGCAATGCTGGATTGTATATTTTGTTTGGCAATTTGCTGTTTTTCAAACTTGTGTGAAATTATAGAAAAAATTACGTATTAATTTGTATCTGCGCAACCATGATGATAATGCATTAGTGCTGCGGATGTGCAGTATAAATCTCATAAATACCTTCAATTGCAGGTGATTCAGTTCATCATTGGACAGGGGATTGAGCGTGAAGAGCTGCGAGATGAGATATTCGTGCAATGTATGAGACAGGCAACAAATAATCCTCATTCTGAATGGACTGATCGTGTCTGGCTTCTCATGTGCCTCACAATTGTGGCTTTTCAGCCAAGCAAATTACTCTTTAGGTCAGTTGTGTAGTCACTCATATACACTTCTTGGCCACATTATTGTGCCAAATTGCTTGATGGTAATTTGACGTGTGTGATCACAAATTTGCAGGTACTACGTGAGCTTCCTGAAGAAGAATCTCGAGACACTGGATGGGAAGCTGCGGCAGTATGTCCAGTGGTGTCTGGATAATTGCAAATACACTAAAGTGTCGGCAAGATTGTATCCACCATCGAGTGTGGAGGTTGCTGTAAGTTTTCTCTCTCTCTCTCTCTCTGTCTCATCCCGTTGGCGGGGTTTGTCATTAATCTCTTTCTCCGCGTGTGAAACAGGCAATGCGTCGGCTGGGAACAATCGTATGTCGCTTTTTCTTCTTGGACGGCCGCACAAAGGCCATTGATGTACATCCGACGGACACAGCGAGCGATGCCGTGGCGAAGTTAGCAGAAAAGCTGGGACTCTGCAATACAGAAGGCTGGGCCATATATCAATCACGTCCCGATGGGGAGGAACATGTCAAGTCTCATGACTATCTCTATGACATTATTGCAGCGTGGGAAGTGTAAGTTTATGTCGTCTTCTTTTTCACTCTCTATGGCATCTTCTTCCCCTCACTGCATAATTGCGAACAGTAGAGGAGGAAGATGGGAATTTTGTTGCATTAGAATAATTAGGGGAGGCGGAAAGAGTTGACAATTCACGGACAAATTGCTTGTCTGTTTCTTCGGAAAATGCGTGTGAATCCATGTTTCTCTTTTGCCTTGGCAATTCCAGGAAGCAGACAAAGATCAACACAACCAACTCCACATTGAGAAGGAATGCTGCCACTCTCGGTTCTGGTGAGAATCGATTTGTCTTCAAGAAGCGCCTCTTCAAGTCCACCCGGGAATTGTCTCAGGATCCAATTGAGGTCAATATGCTGTACGCTCAGGCGGTCTACAGTGTGGTGAAGTGTGATGACTTCCCAGTGAGTGAGAAAGTGGCTCTGCAGTTGGCAGGATTGCAGGCTCAAGTGGCACTTGGAGATCCCTCTAGTCAACCCAAACCGGAGTATTACACTGATGTGGCGAGTTACTTGCCCGACAGGATCTCAAAGACGCGAGAGGAGCACTTCTGGGTGCCAATTCTGGCTCAGGCGCATCGTCAATACGGAGCTGGAAGGACAGAACTTACGGCGAAGGTTCTATATCTCTCCTGTGTGATGCAATATCCGCTCTACGGCACTACAATGTTCCCTGTGACTTATCGCGGCTACTGGAGTTATGGCAACAATCTCATCCTGGGTGTGAATTGCGAGGGATTGATTCTGATCAAGCCAGATGACAAGTTTGTCCTGTATGAATTCCGCTATCATGATGTGGAGTCACTGATGCTGGATCCTAGTGACTCCTTCATCACGATTTCTCTGAATCGCCTGACAAATGGCTCAACGGATCAGCAGCGGTGCTTTGTCTTTGAGACGGTGCAGAAGAATGAGATTGGCTCGCTGATTGTGTCATACTTTCCCGCACTCTCAAATTGGATCACAGAGAATGAGGTGCCGGTGAGGAAGCAGAAAGGCATCACGAATGAGGATAGAGTGAGATTGCACCACAATGTTGTGGTGTGTCGACGTCACTTGGTGGATGCGGAGATTCTGCGGAAGCCTCAGGACTCGAGTGGGGGATTTCTCAGGAACACACTGAGGCGCTTGTCGAAGCATCGACTGGAGAAGCTGAGGGCTGAGCATGGGAATGCAATGCAAGATCATGGGGAGACTTACAAGGGATTTCCTCACGCCTTCTGGGCTTTTAGCAGGCAACAATTGCCGCAGAGTTTGAGCAAACTGCCCGATGCCGAGGAGCAGACGATGATGCAAATCTTCCAGGCGATTCTCACGTATGCTGGACTGGGACAGAGTGGAGAGACAATTCAGCGGGCAGAGGATGAGCACATCACACTGATTCAGTCCATCATGGAGAGATGCATGCGGAAGGAGTCGCTTCTCAATGAAATGTACTTGCAACTCGTGAAGCAGACAACGGATCATCCGGATCCCAATTCACGGGTTAATCTGAGACATTGGGCTCTTCTCTCGCTGGCCTGCAGTGTCATCTTGCCACCGCAGAAGGTTGTTCGCAAGTACTTGATTGGCCATCTGAAGCGCTGCTCCTCGGATTACATCACGGAGGAGGGGAAGTATGCACGCTTCGCCGAGAAGTGTTTCTTCAAAACGCAGGGCACAAGGAGACGACAATGGCCACCGAGTCGCGAGGAGATTGTTTGCACCATCAATCGACGTCCGATCTATGCGAGGTTTCACTTCATGGACGGCCAGTATCACTCGGTGGAGTTTCATCCGAGCTCAACAGCGCGAGAGGTGATGGAGATAGTGAAGAAGAAGATTGGTCTGCAGGAGAAAGCTCAAGGGTATGCCATCTATGAGGTGCTGGGTGCTTCAGACAGGAGTCTCCTGCCGGATGAGAAGGTGTCTGATGTGATGTCCAAGTGGGAGAAGTATCGAACAGCCGCTGCTCAGGCGATTCAGCAGAATCAATCGTCAAATCTGGCGCCAGCTTGTCGGCGCCAACATCATCTGTTCCTCTTCAAGAAACACCTCTTCCTCGATCACTACATGAATCTCGAGGATCCGGTGGAGAAGGAGTTGCTCTATCATCAAGTTCTTCATGGATTGCGCACTGATCGGTTCCCCATTTCCGAAATGGAAGCTGTAAGTGATTGAGAAATGCATTGAAATCCTCTCTTTATTCACTCCATTCACTTGGGATGTGTTTTGTTTGTTGCAGATCATGCTGACTGCGCTGCAGGCTCAGCTGGAGCTCAGGGACTGTGGCGAAATGCTAAACGACTACCGTGCCATAGCTGGACACTGCCTCCCGCCGCGTTATGTGCCGAATATACCACACGAAGCCGTGGCGATGCACCATCAGAGTCTCAAGGGAATGACCCAACCGGAGGCGAAGAAGGCCTTCCTCAATCTCATCCAGAGCTGGCCACTTCACAAGGCGACGATTTTCGACGTGATGGTGAGCAATGGGGATGTCAAAGGGTGTTTCTGGGCTATTTTATTGATTTATTTGTGTGTCTTTGCAGCAATCATTCACCTCCAATTGGCCTCGAGTTCTCTGGCTGGCAGTCGATCAGAATGGGATTCACTTGTTGGAGCATCGCTCACGCAATACTCTCTGTACTTATGAATACACATCGATACTGTCGTACTCACCGAACATGAATTGTCTGATGATCATCACTGGATCGGACAAGAAACAATCGAAAGTCATCCTCACAACCGCACAGGTGAGAAAGCGCGTGAAGAGGAGTGAATTGGAGGGGAATTTATATAATTTCTTTGCTATTCTAGGCCTTCCAGATCGCCAATCTCATCAGGGAGTACACGGAAGTGCTGCAGGCGACCATGGAGGAGGCGATTAAGGATGGCGGCCACGTGATTCAGCCCATGAATCTCCATCCGCAGCAGATAGCGCCGAAAGGGGCGCCGGATGTGCGAAAGACAGCGGCTGGAACGCGTCCACAGTCGATGTTGTTGCGAAACTCCGCGGCTGCGGCCACTCTTGTGGCACCACAGCCCAGTTAAATGCAAGATTAACACAAATATTGACAGTAATGCTGCTAAATTAATCTCCATTTTATAGATAGAAATGTTTGTTAATCGACTGTCTCCCAATCGATTCTTCTGTATCGCGCGTCCTCGCAAAGCGACGAGGAGGAGAGAACATTATTACAGGTTGATAGTTGTTAAAAAGGAACAGGTCTCTTCTCGATTTACCAATTCATAATATCGTTGCACAATAAGTTTATAATAATACGAAAAGAAAACAACATCAATGAATAGTAATTCCATTTTTATACTCTTTCTCACTCATTTTCCATACCAGTGAACAAAAAAAAAGAATGGAACCGATGAAGATTTTTTACAACGCAAAAAGTGTTGGTTTTTCGCATCATTTTTCTATACGTAACAATAATAATAATATTCCTCAGAGGATTTTGTGGCTTTTCAATTGATATTTTGAGGATTTTTACAGATTTTCCGCAAATGTTCAACTCCAATGCAAGAAGAAAAAAGTACTCTAAAGTCTAAGATGATAAAAGTAGTGAAAGCATAAGAATATATTTGTTATTATGCCGTTCTATTGCGGTTATGCGTTGCTAAGTCAGATAAATCTCTAAAAGTACAGCAAATTCTCCATAATTTTATGTACATAACATCCAAGTTATTGGGCGACATTTGCGTTGATATATTTGCAAGAAGAAAAAGAAAAAAAGTACGATATTTAGTGGAACAATCAAATATTGAATCACTTTCTCTATTAATCAACACACCAAGAAAAAAAATGAGCAATTGTATCAACATTAATGGATAAAAATTAATGGACACATGAAAAGGAAAGGTATTAAACTATTCGCAAAGTATTTTATGACACAGAGAAAATATTCAGAAAAAGAAGAAAGAAATGTATAAAAATTATTTTAGCCATTCATATATTATCTTTGAATGACTTTGGAGAATACTTTTAGATAGCTAAATTTTGTATTTAATCTATGAGAAACTATAGATTGATTCAGCTTTTGAGCACCTCGATTAATTTGCTACCCTTTTTTCTGTACATTTTCTTTTTCTTGAGCACTTGCGTTCTTTGCAAACGAGAGAAAAACTGCCTAAAATGATGAATCAAAAAAATGAAAACAAGAATGGGACTCAGGCCATTTATTTTTCACACAGCGCAAAAGTAGCGCAAAATACCCACAAAAGATGTCTTCAATGTGAGAAACAATAAGATTTTGAAGATTGTGTACCAAATTTTATTGTCACAGTACCAAATTTAGATGAATTTTTATATAATTTGTCCTTTTTGTATAAATATTTATTTTGTATTTTACTCAATTTGACTCCTTTTGTAATCTTAATTCTTTCCAGTTGCGCCACATGGCGTGAGTGTATTTAACAATTATACAAGAAAGCATATTTATAGAGATATTGTAAATTTAGTATTTAAAATAAAAATTATTGTATCTACACTTTTGCCGAGTATTGTTTGTCGCTGGCGGAATTCAATTTAAAATGGGCAGTGTTCATCACCAGATGGCGCGATGGCAGAGCTAAGTTTTGAATGAGAATTTTTCAATTTTCAGTGTTCAGTGGTAAATAAATCTTCTTAATTTACTTATTACCAGTAATTAATTTTACAATTCACACATTTCGTGGTGCAGAATTGATGATTCTGGTACATTTTCGTCTAATTTTTGCAGTGTACTAACGACCTTGAATTATGTAAACATGTGGAACCGAGCAAACTTCAGATCGGTGGAGCAGCTGATGGCGATCCTCCCTTGAAAAGTGCAAAATCTAGCGAAATGGCTGTGAGAAGCCAAGAGAAATCCCTGTTCACCCAATTCTGTGAATACATGGATCGGGAGACGAGAGGAGTTGAGGTGAGAAATTATATTTTTCTTCAGGGAAAACGCGAAGAATCACCTCGAAGTGTAATGTTTACTGTTTTGCTCCTCTTTGACATCTTCTAGATTGGAGTTTACACAATTTCTGGCGTCCTCCTCGCCGTGGCATGCCACAGAATGCGACCGGTGAGTTGAAAAATCCCTGTCATTAAGGAGTTCGTCCTTAAATCTCACTGTTTTGCTGTTGACAGATCACAAAGTTCCGGCATCCGGCGCAGATTCCACAGCACTTCATGCGGAACAAGCTGAAGCAATTTGGGCGTGTGGAGAGCGTGGAGCCCAGCCAGACCGCCGGTCCGCTGCTGCGGATCAACCACAAGCCGCCCATTAACATCTTCTTTGGCAACAGAGACACGCTGCCGGTGAAGCTGGCCGGCGTGACGGTGAATCACAACGGCTTGTCGTGGCTTCAGGGAGTGGCGGTGGATCACAAGGTGGAGTTCATTCCGCTGTTCACGCACGCCGAGGCGGCCGAATGTGTGGTGTTTGTGCTGCCGAGTGAACAGGAGAAGCGGCTGAAGAAGAATCCCCGCAGTCTCGACGTTGCAGAAGCTCTGCTGAGTCTAGGTTTCGCCCAGACCACTGGAGTTCCTGCCCAAGTGCCTCTCAAGGACAAGAAGATGCGTGACTACTACAAACTCCTGACCTATGTGGAGAAGAAGGCGAAGAATGGACGCCAGGGCGTCTGGTCAACGAAGATTCCGCCGCCTATTTGGCCGCTGCGCCTGCTGAGAGACTCCTTCGACAAACTCCTTCTCTCTGTGCTGCCCCAGTCGCGACGCCTGCCGCAACTGGTGCGCTAGACTGGTGAGTAAACCAACCCAGAAGCTGCCTTTCCACTTAGTAATTTGTCTCCCCATGAGCTCAGCAATTAAACATTTGATTACTTTTCGTTAGAATCAATTCATTTTCAAGCCACACAATCTCTACAGTAATCCTTGACGCTTCAAGTCCTCGTACGTCTTCTTGTTCACCACATTTCCCTGCGAGTCCTCGTACTCTTCCTCCTGGTCGGGAATCCAGCGCTCCTGCTGCTTCTGCGACTTTAGTTTCTCCCACACTGCAAAGCAATACAGTCAATTAGCACGAAAGTGATCAAATCTATTGATAAAGGTATGCTAATCCGTCATCTCTTGACCCTTGCAATGCTTCTAGCAATCCTAGCGAATCAGTAAAAAAAAACAGTCAAATATTTACTCTCCGATCACAGCTATTTCTGATCACCGGAAAGTATTTTTAGCCAGTGATGATGTGTCGAGAATTGCATAAAAAGCGATTTGCGTCGTGCTTTTTCCGAAATAATCTCACAAGATTAGACAAATTATACTCACGGGTTATTGCATCCTCGATCTGAGTGACGTTGGCGAAGTGCGCCGTGTTGGGAATGCCTAAGCATCTCATGCCGTGAGCATGTCTCCACTCGGCGAAGTGACGCTGGAAGGCTTTGGGGCCCTTGTACGTGTAATTTCCGCAAATCTCGCAGTGATAGCTGATGTTGAGGCCGTGAAGCTTGTACAGCCAGTACGGAATGGGCTTCCCATCCCATCCCAGCGGCAGATTCTTGGGATTGTACGGCACATCATCGGCATCGTCGTCCTCATTGTCCGAATCACTCGCCTCCACGTCGCTGTCCTCGCGCTCTCCCTCAGTCCTGGCCTGCTTCCGCTGGACATTCTCCTTGGTGGCGCTTCGCTGCTCAGACACAATGTCCGCCAGTCTGTAGACTTGCGCCTCCAGGAAGGCGATTTCCCGATGACGAGCTGAAGCATTGGACGTTTGCTTGCTGCGTCCCTTCTTGGCCAGCATTGTCGGCTCGAAGTTCTGCTTGCCTTTGGTGGAGAACAGACGCTGCGCTCGCTCCTCCAGAGTGCCGCCGCACTTCAGACCGAGCGCCATCAGGGCCGACTTGAGTCGATCGAGTCCAAGCGAGGCCAATTCTTCCCAACTGGAGAAGGCCGACAAGTCCAGATGCGCTCCCACCGAAGTGAGAGCACTCTCGGTCTCCTTGGGCCAGCCGGGGAAACTCCCAGAGTCCCAATCACGATGGAACTCCTTATTGGTGGCCTCCATCTCGGAATCGATGTCCAGCAGAGGCTTCACGCGACCCACGTAGCCGTTGAGGTACTCAAGCAGCATCTCCAGGTATTTCTTGTACTCGGTGTTCTTCCTGTCCCTGGGAATGTCGAACAGGTGGTCGAAAGTCATCAAGTACGTGATGTAGTCAATCTTCTCGATGCCGCGAATGTTGATGAACTTGTCGAAGCACTCGTGCAGATCCAAGTACTTCCCAAATCCCTCCTCGTCCGTGAACTCCACGAGGGAACTCATCTCATCCTGGTTCCCATACGACTTGGTCAGCTCCTCGAACTCCACCGACAGTGGCACGCTGATCTCATTGGGGTGCTTCTTGTAGAACTCCTTGATCTGCTTCAGACGGGCGTAGAACTCGGAGAACTCATTGGGTCCGGAGAGAGCCTGCACTTCTGTCTTCCGGACGCCATCCTTGTCCTCGTACAACTCCTTCAGCGTCCCCGTGGCGTTGTTGTGCAGCTGGAGGAGCAAATGCAGTCGATGATCTGTAAATACTGCATCTTTTGCCTGCGGGAAATGGTCAGTAAACCAGAAAATATTAGTAAACAAAAATGTTGCCATTTGAGCTGTCACAACAAACTCACCGAATTTGGCTTTGCCATCAGCAATTCCTCCACCATGGCTTTCACGAGGCGTTCGCGCTCTTCATGATACCGTCGTTGTTGCTCTAATATCGTCTCCATTGCGAATTTTGAGCTAAATTCATCAAAAAACACCCTCTTCGGCAAACGTTTGCTGTCACCTCAAGAGATTCCACACTTTTCCACGCGATGTGGAACGAAAGCCCAATAAAGTGAGTGTCGGTAAAGAGCGAATTAGGGAATATTTGTAGACAAGTCTGCTATTATCAGGCGGACAAATCCATCAGGCATCTGCAGTTATTTCGCGCTCAATATTATGCATAAACTACGTAGATGATAGTGAAATGATAAATTAATATAGAAAAAACAGATACAACAAGTTGTATTTCTGAATAAAAAGACACAAGTGTAGAACAGTAATGAATTTCTGTTGAAGAAGAACGTTTTTCATTGCAGTTTCTTATTCTGATGATTTTTCTTGACTCATTTCTTCTTCGCTGCTTTTACTGTTTTCATCACTGCCGACAATTTCGTCCATTATTACGTACTTGTAGTAATCATTGTCCACTAATAGATGAAATTCTGGCATTATTTCGTCTGAGGTTTCATTCGAATGCAATGATATTTCAGAACCAGGTTCCGCCACATAATCAAAGACATCTGAAGAGAAAAGAGAGTTTGCAATTAGTTGAAAGATTCTTGTGATGCTAAATATGCTGCAGACTCACCAAATCCAAACACTGCATTGGCTGTGATAAGGAAAAACAGCACTAAAATCGTCTTCATTCCAATTCTGATCACTCAATAAAATGGTTCGAGACACACTGAATCGACACACGATAAATAATATCTTGTGACAGTGGAAAGAATTTTTATTTGCTCAACAAACAAGACTCAATCGATATATTGTACGCAAATTATTAATATATTGATTTTCTGTTTTTGGTTCCACCTGGAATTTGAAGGTGATTTTTTCGTCACGTCAATTGACCGACATTTAATTGAATTGAGGCTGGATTGAAAGGAGTTGACAAAGAGACAGAGTGGAAAAATAGCAATAACATTCAAAAGACTTTATTGGCCTATTTTATTGAATTACAGTAGTTTTTGCTTCTTCCTTATTGACTCATTTACCTATATTATAAACAATTGCAAATTGGGATTGATATTACATTTTTTTCTTAAAATCACTAACATTAGAAATATTTGTCGTATCGTTTTTTTTTCCTTTGAGAAAAGTTTAAGAAGGCAGGAAATGATGTTCTTTGCAGGAAGTTTTCCCGAAACGCTTTAATGCTTTCTTTGAAGACTTCATGCAAAAGACATGATGATTTTAGGGGACTTTTTGTTTTTTGATTGAGAAAAGTTTCTGTAAGAAAGAACAACCTTGAAACACGTTATTATCATCGTATGTAATTCTTAAATTTACAGTCAACATTTTCTTCTCATTTTTGCACATCTAAAGAGGGTTTTTTGTCTCGCGAATTGCCAAATGCACGTCTATTCGACGGATCCGTAGGAGTACTTCCGCTTGCTGCCAGTCCGCATGAAATTGGTCTCGGCCACACAGAGTGTGGGCGACGAGGATTGCGGGTAGTTCACACTGAGATTAATATTGCTGCCGTACGGGGAGAGTTGCTGCAGCTGGAGATGCTGGAGGAACTGCTGCTCAGTCATCTCACCCTGCCTGAGGGAGATCGAAGATGCGAACGGATGTAGCCCGTCCGATAGTCGATGACATCTCGATAGGGGCCCCCAGGAGTTCCGTTTCGGGGATGCCGTCCCCATCTGCCGGCGACGCCGCGCAAAAGAGACACAAAGGTAAAGGCCATTTACTCGGGCTCTGATCTCATCAAACATTCAACACACTCTTGTTCTGTGAATCACAACAGCTCAACAATACACTTCTTTCTCCGAAGTGGCTTCTCTTCTTTCACTCGCCAAACGCGCGTGGCTTGGGTGGATAGTGAAATGTCTTGGCGATTTGGGGGAGAGAAATCCTTTTGGAGACTCTCTCCGGAGGAATTTCGATTCAATTCGTGAAGGAAGACTAGGTTGGGTGGCTTAATCAAACATGGCAATTGCCTCAAGTCTCACAATAGATAAATTCACCCCTCTTTGGCTCTCTAATCGTTTTAGTCTCACAAAGTTTGCCTGTGTGCAGAGATAACAGCTTAAAGTTTATGCAAAGTTACCAGTGGTCTTCTCGACTAATTTCCCGGGGAAAATCAATTGATTGAACTCAGCGGATGTCGAGGGAATTTCAGCATGACTAAAGACTAAAGTAAATATTGGTTTTCAATTTTCGCCAGATTTTCAGTGAAGTTCGCATGAAAAAAGCTGATCTCTATAAATTGAATTCAACGACAAAATTATGCAATCACAATTTCATAAAAAAAATCATCTAATAAATCAAAAAAATTCAGAACAGTATTTTCTGAAGAAAATTGCGCAATGAGAAATTGGGTGAATTTATCTGATTTTTTTTCTTCTTATTCGACTCTTAGCTTTGAAGAAGAGAGAGAGGATACTCATTGCTATATATAACACTCAAAATGTTTATCATCTCTCAAGACAGAGTATAAAATCACATATAGATTTCAAGTAGTGAATGTCGTGCTTTTCATTGGGAATCCACACTAAATTGGGGTCATTTTGCTATGTCATCATTCAGGGTATTTTTCTGTACAGATAAAGTTCGTTCTCTGGTGGGAGTTTGGTATCGGTTTGCTGTGTATTTATCAAATTTTGCGTGCGACTTTTGAAGGGGTGTTTTTACGGTGGTGCATACTTTTTGCCAGTGATTCTAAGATTCGCAATACATGGTCAATTTATACACATATATATAGATAGATACATTGAGACAAGGGATTCTTTTGGTTGCATCCAACGACATAAACTTGCAACGGATCATTTGCACCAATCGTTCAGTGTGTTGACACTAAATTGAGAAGAAAAGGTGTGAAGAGAGACAGAGAGAAAGACAGAGAGAGAGAGAGAGAGAGAGAGGGTGGAGGGTTTCACAGAGACAGATAGAAGGATCAGAGATAGAGTGAATATATAACATTGCAAAATGCAGAAAGGACAAATGAACCATAAGCCAATATTTGAGAGAAAATCCATTCCAATAACTAGAGTGTGAAGAGTTTCTTATATACTTACCGCTGAGCGTTGACTTTCTTCAATAAATGAAAGTGGGGATGGCTTTTCGCATTTCCTACCTCGATGTGGCGGGCGGTGATGCCACGACAATGTCACGCCTAAGGAATGCCTGGCGTCTGAAGGTTCAAGATGATAAGTCCAAAGGATTAGCCGCCACACAAATGCTTTCTTACATCACTAAGGGTTATTTTTAATGAGCTTTTTCTGTGATAATCATCTATGTGAAATTGTTGTATTCTGCTGAAAATTTCTTATCAATCTTCTTCACCCTTCAGAATATTCCCATTCACTAATTCTCTCATTTTATTGAAGTTATTCAATTTATTGTGATAACAAACAGTAATGCGAATACTCTGAATCGTGTGACGCTTACCTTTGCCGATTCAATAACTCAATAATTACATATGTATTTCTTTGTGGTGAGAATGAATTGGTTTTTAATTCTTTTGAGAAACAAAATAGGACACAAAACTACTCTCTTCTGTTCATTTATTATAGATTGACCACTAAAGAAAGTAAACAGAATAGATGAAGTGTGAAATTTGGAAAACAGTGATTTCTTTTCTTTTCTTTATCCATTGCAATTCAATAAGAAATTTTTGCACTGAAACATATATAAACTATATATAGTGTTGCCCATGAAATTTGGTTGAGAAACATTTAAAGAAGGTTGAGAAATACAAATTTTTCTGTTCAAACAATTTTGTTGTAGTAAGAAATATAAAGCCACCGTCACACACATTGAGATAGTCAATATCACATCAATAGCATTGTTAGAAGCGGAAGAAAAATTGCGCATGTTGGAAGAGAATTTGGAAAAAGAGATGTAATGTATAGAAGAGATAGATTTTGCTGATTTGAGAAGGAAGGGTTCTTTTCTTTATATCAAATGGCCTTATTGAGATTCCATCTGAGCATCCTTTAGAGGGACTTGCTAATTTGATTGGGCTGTGAAAAGTGAGTGTGAAAGATGTTGGTGTTGTGGCCACAAAGGGACTCTGTGTGAGGGAATCTTGCATGGGTGTTCGTGTTGCTGTGTCATGAACCAGGGGGAAAAGTTGCTGTAAATTTACATGGTGATAGAGAGTGGTGGTGTAAAAGGAGTCACTTACCTCGCGTTGTGACCCAACAATATGATATTTCTGAAAGTGAAAATGAAACTTTTTAGAAAATGTAGCTTTTTGTCCATCATCGATTGTGTTTTTCTTTTTTTTCACGAATATTTACGGCAGCACAATACAAAAGTCCTTTCTTTTTTTATTGTCAACATAGGAACTTGTTACAATAAATCCTACACCAAAAAACAGAAGGTGGAAATAATGGTGAAAAGAGAGTTGTAACATTGAGTATAACGAGGAGAAGTACAACTAAATGTGTGAGCTTCTTTGATCATATATTCACTAGTACGAGATTACGAAAGGAAGTCTGAATAACGAATGAGATAAACAATAAGCATTTCAGTGCAGAAATGGCATTTGGAAAATGACAATATATAAAATTCTGCTGCTATATAAAGAGTCTTTATATTATGTTCATTGTTAAACCAAAAAAGAAAAAAAAGGAAATGTACAAAGAGACAGGAAATATGTGAAATATAAGAAAAGAATTCTAGCGTCATCAAGTTAGAATTTGAAGTAATATATAATGTTGTTGTTTGCTAAGAAATTGCTGAGTGGAAAAGTTACATAATAATAAAATGATAAAAATGTGAGATATTGAAGTAGTTTGAGTTACATATTATTTGATATAATATAAAATGTAAGTAAGAGAGAAAAGAATATGCATGTTGCTTCTTGAGCTTTCTCTCTGCGCCTGCAGCCAATTTGCGGAAGAAGGAAGCGAGTTATTGCAAATTGTGTAAAAGTCGTAAAAGTTCTCTTACCATTTGCCACATTTTCGCACAACATTTCAACGCTTTTGGCCTTTTCATTGTCTCTCACTGGAGAAAATATCTCCCGTCCGTGTGGATGATTTGACAATGAGAGTTAAAGGATTTTGTGGTCCATGAGGAAGTCTCGAAAAGCCTCATGCATCCTTGTTTGATATTTGATTTGATATGAGAAATCTCTAAAGAAAATTGGTTGATCGAAAACAGAAATACTCTTTGCATAGGAAGAGAAAAAAGTTGAACGAAAAGTCGGAATTGGATAGAATTTGAAAGATAGAGAGAGAGAGAAATATACAGAGAGAGAGAGAGGGATAGAGAGACTGGTGTGTAAAAGTTTGTGAGAGGATTTAGACTTTTTGGTACATTTGATAGAGATTCATCCTAAGATTTTACATTAAATAATTGTCACTTAAAGATAACATGTGATTTAGGGGAAGGAAATCAAAAGGTACACTTTCAGTGCGACTCAATTGCACAAAAACATTGCCATTTAGGAAAACCAATCATATTTACAAATCATCATTTTAATAAAAATATCTATTATAGAGTTGAGGAGAGAAGAAAAACAAATGTATACAAAAGAATCAGAATTTTGAAGAGATAAACAAAGGACAATGAGAACTGAATACAAATTTGACTGAGATTTGCAACAATTGAGTGGTCAAATAGTTGGTTTATTCTTTTGACCTATGAGATGAGAAAATTTGATAGATTTTTTGATAATTTGTTTTGTCTCCCTACCGAATTATCGTAATCAATTTCAGCATAATCGCAACAACATTGGTATCGGAGGATTGCACGACCAGTTTTTCTGGAAATTTTCACAAATATTAAACGGATATAGGATAACGCAATTTGTCTTATCATTTTTTTGGGGGCTTTCAAGTGTGGTTCTGAAATTTCACATAAACATTTATTTTGGAATTGAGGGAAAAAAATATAGTTAAAATGCTTTTCTCAATACACACACACTCACAAAAATATAATTTATGTGAACAAAAATTGTAACTTATATCGCTTCCTATAAAAATTGGATTCATCCTAAAATCAAAAAACAGAAATCTGCGTCAAAAATATCTCACAAAATCTAATGGATACATTTTGTATTACTTTCACAGATGGAGAAATCGCTCAAAATACTTTCCGAACAGCTTCACTATTGTATACAATATCGTGACTTGAGATTTGGACATTGCATTTTGGGTGATTTCTCCGTGAATTGGGGTCAACATCAATCTTTCACCTCAAGATTGATGTGGAGAAAAGGTCGGAGGAGAAAACATTCTTGGACGTTTTCCCATGTGAGCAATATTGGATCATGAAATTCTTACCGCAACAGTCTTGTAATATAGTCAGGCCAATTGTCCGGCAGCATGACAAGGAAGAAGCCCACCCCAATCAGGATAATGCCTGCCAACTTCATGCCATCGAAAATTGCACCGTAGAGTGTTGCATCTAGAGCTGCGAGAGAAGAGGATTTCATACAGTGAGATTGAAGGGAGGGATTGGCTTTGTGGGTGGTTTTGGGGTAGAGAACCTGCAGAAACTGGCACGGATGTGATGAGTCCCAGCGTCACAAAGACATTGTAGGTGATGGCAGTGCTGAATTGTGTCAGGAGATGAAATACTGACGAAGAGAAATCCTTCAGTGGATTATTCTTTATCAGTTTGCGTGCAATACTCACAGAGCAAGAGAACACTGGCCATGAGGAGGATGATCCAGGGCATTATTTCCCACGGCATCACTTCGGTGCCGGACAGATAGAGTCCAATGCAGATGGGCCACAACAGAGCGGCATTCATGAAGCCCAGGAAGGAGAATGTGAAGGCAATTTCACCGACGGGCGGATCGCCCATCACCTTCTTGAACATCACCTTAAACACGGCATATCCTGCGGCTGCGAGCGCCGCCAGGACCACTCCGCCTAGTGTCGGAGTGCCCGTGATGCCGTCCATGTAGGCCAGCAGAGCCACGCCAGTGTCGCACAGGATCACAGCCACGATCCTCACGCCCACAAATTGCTCGTGCAGGATCACCCATGAGAGCAGATACACGCAGGCTACATTGGTGGCGAAGAGCGCCATGACGTCCGTGGCCAGAAGAGCGCGTAGCGACAGGGCATAGAGATAAGTGGTGATGAGCCAGAGCATGCAGAATGTGAGGCAGCGGTTGAGGAAGCGACCTGCAGAGAATAGAGTGCGTTCATAAGCCGAGGGTAATTAATGAAACGGAGAGGAAGAACATCTCTTCAGTTAATATTTAATTAATTATGAACCCACTTTATGTGGGTGGCCTTTGCACACTTTTACACATGCCTCAGCTTCACTTTCGAGACTGGAAACAGCCTGCAAATGTCTGATTGTTAAATTAATTATGTATAGAGCAATGTTCGGGGGATGTTGATGAAGTCTTTGACGTGACAGTGGCTGAGTTAGAAATACCACATGGGAAAAGACACGAATTGCAATTTAAAATGTCATTATCATTGTTCATAGAAATAGAATGGAAAATGTGCTGGACGTTGAAACGAGTGTCAGAAGTTGAGACGTACGAAACAGCAAGAAAAACAGTCATTATTTATCGAGAATGGAATGAAAGCATTGCAGACATTCTGATACATATTTTTAATCCCTCATGAAGGCGATATTTCCATTATTCCTAATGTAAATTTTCTGCTATCTTGAAAATTGAGGTTTTCTCTATGAATAAAACATTTTTGCGCCGAATGACATGATTTCAATAATTTTATTCTCCACTCAAATATTCAGCAATACAGCAATAATAGAGTAATTACAATCTATACTAAAAATACCGCACGGCACACTCTCAAGGGAATCAGATTCTGTTATTTAATTTTGCAGTCGTGCAAGTATGAAAATCATTTCCATAAAAATTTCATAAATAATCTCGCCATAAAGTGTTGAAATTTTACGGCAATTCTCAGGAAATCAGTAATATTTCCTTATGCATAAAGCGCAAGAGAAAATTCTTTAGGGCGCTATTTTCGCTTCATTTCCCTCACGACCAGAAAATCACCATCACTGAAACATGCAAGCGAAAAATTTCGCGCACTTGCTGGAATATCTCGTCAGAGAATGTTCGACGTCATTTAATAATAATTTGATGATGGTATTTTCTTGGCTTTTATTGAACATTAGCAGATTTTCCTCTTCCAACTTACATTCTCGCCTTTTTGCCGTCAAGCAAATAACATAAGATTCCGCCACAAGTTATTATGAGCAGAGTAATTTCCTTAATTAAATAATCAATTGCGTGGTGCGATATTTGAAAATAATATGAATGACGTGAAATATGCCATGTCACTTAATTGGATTTTTATGGATTGCTCTATTTTGGCGCTCTGCGAAAGAGCTCGAAGAGGTGAGCTTTGAGGAAACTCACCGACTGTGAATCCTCGATCCCTGAAGCCTCTCAGCACATCGCCCAGAATCTCTCCAGGAGCCTCGCACTTCTTCATGGCCACGCGGCCCAAGAGGTAGATGGGGAAGAAGAAGATGGCAAAGTTCGTGCAGAACCACGAGGCGAAAAAGGGCGCATTGAAGCCCACGGCTGAGAACGTGAGCGAGTCACGCGTGCGGATGAATCCGGTGGTGTTGGCGATCGCCTCGCCCACCATTGAACGCGTGATGACGGGCAGTGTGGCGTAGGAGTTGTGGGTGAGATAGAGAAACTTGATGCAGTGCGTGGCGCCGACCCACGTGGCCGTGACTAGCAGCGTGACGCACATGCCGAAGTAGATCTTCTGGGCGCTGGTGGAGCAGCACGAGTCACGGCAGGAGCGCAAGCGACTCCGCGGCGGACGCGTGGCCGAGGCCAGGCACGTTGCGTGGTCTGTCGTGGGCGTGGGCGTCTGGCAGCCGCCGCTGGAGTGCATCAGCGCTGTGGTGTGATCCGAGGCATCGGGCTGACTCGACGTCACGGAGTCCGAGTGCGTGATCTGAGGCGGACCACTTGTCGTGCCGCTGGGCGTGAAGCCGCCAAAGGGGCCATTCGGGGAGTCTCCAGTGACCACAACTGAGGGTGCACGAACCCGACGAGGGTTGAAGATTGCGGGAATTTCTCCATCTCTCGCCATGCTACTTTCTTTCATCGATCAGCAGTCCATTTGCATTGAAGTTACCTGCAAAGAGCGGAGTGACATGTGACATTGGGGTTACTCTGTATTTGAATATGTTTTTGCAGAATTAATTAAAATAAACTTCCGTGTTTTCGCGCTTTTGCAACTACATTGACAGTCACGGAAATGGCAGTTCAACCATCTCTGCCAATATTTGTTCAGGTAAAATTCCCACGAGGAAAGTGTGAAATAGTCAGTCCAAAGAGTATTGCTAACATTAAGCGCCCCAACTTGTCTAGAAAGTCAGGGAAATTGGGATTCTTTGGGCAGCAATTTCAGCATTTAAATCCAATTAGTGAAACACTGCAAACATTCATAATCTTCTCATGTTGTTCTCATGTAGTTGAGAATTTAACCCGATTTATGCTGTGGAAATCTTAGTCATAAATAATAATAAGACCCAAAAGAATGTTTTCTGCCCATTCACCGCTTTTTCACTTTTTTCTCTTTACAAAAAATTACTGTGAAATATGCTAAAAAAAACAGAACGAATAAACCCAACACCTCTTGCTGTTTGCTATCATCCAGCGTTTACTCGAAATACCGTGAGCTAATCTCATTATATTCATTAGCATAGAAGTTTGCGGACGATTTAATGTAATTTCGTGTTTAGTGGTGTAAGAGCGCCGCGCGTCATGGAATAATCGATATACTACATATCTTCAGCATGATTTTCAGACTAAATTCTCAAGACACTGTCTTCCATGATTAAGTAAATGTCCAACGAAGCAAATCGCTGAGAAAATTCCATCTGATTTTCCTTCTTAATTCTGCAAACTCAAGCATGATACATTACAAGGAAAAATGGTTACTATGGAGGAAGAATGGATGGTTTTATGTAAAGAAGCAGCACGAAGAAAACTCACTCCCACGAATAGTAGAATTCTCGCTTTTTCTGGTAAGAGAAAATAGCAGAAGAACGTAAAGACGAATCGTAAACTATTAATTCAATCAGTTCGGATAAAACTCTAACACTTGAAATTGATTCAAAATGAAAATGAAAATTATCAACATCGAGAAGAGCTTTAATGAAAACAAATCCTTTCGGTGTTGGCGTGTAGAGAAAAAAGTTTGGAAAATATGCAGAGCGAGAATATGTAGAATACTAAATGACTGCTTGTGGGTTGACTAAATAAATTGCCTTTTGGGACTGACAAACTTTGCAATCACAAGCTTTTGCAATATCAAACAGAAAACAAATTTTAAATTCATACTCAAGCTCTGCAATGCAAAGGGTTATTAATAATACTTCAGCTCTGCAGAATCGCACATAAATCACTCAATTTAATCTGTCGGAAAGGCGTAAAAAGAGAGAAAATCTTGTCTCAAAATAAAACACTTTGTCAGCTTTCACTGCACAATTTGGAGGAAATCTTGAGGGCTTGTCTTTGGAGAGGGGGGTCAACAGTAGTAATCCATCAATGGTTGTACAGAGTGATGAAAAGTATGCGGTTCATAAAAGAATTGCGGGAAATTATTTACGAAAGGCGCACATGCTTTTCTTGTTCAGCATGACTTCCAAAATATTCAACAACAACCCATCAAATATGTTATTCATTGTCGGAACATGGCATAACGACTTCTCTCCGCAGACATCAAAACCATCCCCCCGCAGAGCACTTAAACCGCGCGGAGGCAAGAGAATCCGGCACAATTGTTGGCCCGGAATTCATTTCGACCAAACATGAGAGAGAGAAATTATATATTTTTGAAGGCATTTTTCCTCGTCATGTTGCGATAGAATGCCAATGTGTGCAGAGAAGCGTGGTTCAGCGACACCAAAAAGCCGATTGTCCTGAAGCTTTTGCTGAGGTTTTGCGGATGAACATCGCATGGGAAGCTCTATATATTCGACTGTGTGTGGCCTCGCAAGAAAGGTCTTCTGAATTATTCACTCACAATGTGTGTTTATCTTTAATGAAACGTCACTGGGTGCGATGAGAGCAGCCAGCTCGCAAAAAGAGATTCACCCCCAAATGGAGCACATTAGTTGTGACACAGTCTTCCCTTGAGATTTCAGCAGTCTCAAGAACAATGCGTGTGTTAATTTAATATGGAAATGCTATGGGGATAAATTGGTTCGGTTTGCCCCGCCCTTTAGATAGAAAATTCCATTTCAAAATAGGGAGAAATTGTGGTTATCGTCGGTGAATTAAATTACCAAAGGACTTTTTGACATATTTCACTGGTTTTTGTGGTTTTTCAGTCAGGCGGGAACATGTAATCATAAGTAATTTTGAACATATTGTTTCACATCCAATCCAAAAAAAGCGCGTGACAAAATAGCAAATTCTGTGAAAAATTCATATTCCATCGAATTCCGTTTAATTTCCTCTCATGTGCAATTTGTTTATCCACTGGAGTTCACCGATAAATTCGAAGTTGGAAATTTATTCGCCTGCAGCAAAATCTATATCACAATTTTATTGCCAAACATAAATACAATCTCCGCTAAAATTTATGTTTGGCAACTATTTCTGGAGAATTGCAGAATAAAACGGATCTAGTGAAGATTGTCGTCTTCCAACATTTCGAAAGAGAAGCCCTTAATTGCCACATTGCGATAATATTAGCGCAAATTCAACTAGTGCCTCTTGCATGAGAGAGTCGCGAGAGAGGGTGAGAGTTTATATAGGATTGCATGACTGGAAAGGGTTTCTGTTTGCTGTATATGTGTGTGACGAACTGGGAAGTACATTTTGCCAAAGCTTTTCACTTGTCTCTTTAACGCAACCCCCACACCTTGGCACAGGGAAGGCTTTCCGAGGAGTCTCGCGGAGAGTTTAAAGTTTAATGCACTGTGTGAAACACTCTCTTGAATTGTATCAAGAGTAGAAGAGATGGACTGCAATGGGTGTATTTTTGTGGTGTCGAAAAAGAAAGTTGGATAGTTCTTGTTGAGTGCATTTGTCCTTGTTCCTGGTTTTCACTTCCTATAATGTGTAAAGTGAATTTTGATTGATCGATGCATGTGGCTTCGTGTGTACTGTGACTGAAAGGACATTGACTCATTGAGTGCACTTAGCAAGGTCTGGGAAGCCATCCTCTTGCCTCAGTGTCTAGTTCACGAGCACAGCAAAGCTGATGCGTTGTGGTGGCCACAGAGTGGTCAAGTAATTAATCGATTTTTCCGAGCCTCTCCATTTTTAATGTATCGATTTTTCTATTTCACTGCCATTTGAGAGGAGCAGCAGGAGAATTTTTCCATTGGCCAAGGACTGTGGAGAAAAAAGAGAAGAAGGAGAAAATATACTTACAGATTATATTCTGGTGCGTTTCTTCACAACAGTTGACACAGTTTCCTGCACAGGTGCCTCAATCCATTATACGTGTAATTGCACTCATTAATCACGACACCAGTTAATGCCCGAAAAAGAACACCCTCGTGAGGATAGAGCGTCGAAGGGTTCGATTGTGCAGAGGCCTTGCATGTCGAGCGACAATTTATATCACTTTATGTGTCATAGTTTTTAATGCCTTCCACTATACGCAACTTTTGCCTCGAGTATCAATTAATTCTGCCACTTTGCACACCCTCCGTTTGCACCTGGAACTCCTCAATCAGAGCCAAAGGAGGACCGATGAACTTCTTGGGCGGGGAGAAAAAATCTCAACTCAAGTGTGCTAATGAAAATTTTCCTTTCTTTGGGCCACTTTCCACGCGTGCCGTGAAGCGGACTTTCCTCTGTGGCTTTTCACTGAGAACTGAGAGAGCGGAGAACCCTTTAAATGGGTAAAAGCCTCCACTTGAGCGATGGCAATTCTCTCAGTTGGGGGGTTGAAAAGCTCCCAGAGAGTACGCGAGAGAGACATGCGAGCGAACGTGTAGAGGGATGGGGATTAAATTATTGAACTTTTACTACCATTGATTGAATTTTCGTGTGGAAGTCAATGAAATTCCGTGGATTCACATCAAAAAGCAATAAATTTCGTATCACTTCACTTGCTTAGTGAATCACTTTGGTGAAAATTGCGTGGAATTAGGGAAATTTTCAGGGACTCAAGAAATTGCGAAAAGCTTGCAGTGATAAGCGTTTTTGGCGGGAAATGCACACAATTTCACATTATCAAATCAATTTCATTCACACAAACACTTGATTGAGAATGTAAACTGCAAAAAGCAGCACTTGAGCGACTTGTTTGGCAGTTTTCGGGGATTTTCATTGAGAAAAACTTGGCAAGCACACAACAAAGCCACCCCCAAAGCTTCACTGAAAACTCTTGTAGCGGAAAGAGTGCTTTCGACAGAGAGAGACTCGCGGTGAGACGAAAGCTCTCTCTTCGCCACACTTCGCCGGATGTTTATTGTCAAAGTGAGTGACAGTCGCGGCAGTACATAAAAACAGTGTTTTTTAGTGATAAACACCAGGAAAGGAGCGCACATGCACAATCTTGGGGCTTAGGCAAATTGCCCATAAATATCCAGAGGAGACAAGACTGCTAAATCTGCTGAGCACTGAGAAAATCTGACAAAAGTAGCACAATCTGGCCATTTAGCCTATATTCAGGGATGTTATGTAATATTGCCAATTAATTAACATAATTATTACGTGGACGTGATTATCTGCTTATCGACGCATCAATTCAGCGCCCCAGTATCTCAAATACCCGGACGAGTGACTTGCGATAAGGTGTCTGATAAGGGAAATCAGCGTAATTGAGTTTTGATTGTGTGAAGCCAAAGGAAACACCCAGGAAACATGTCCAAGTCACTCGCCAGGAAGTTATTCGACAATCTGAGGAGCAAGGAGTTCCGGGAGTATCTTATGAGGTGAGTATTTGAGGTCCCGGAAGACTCAGTTGGTGGAAAAACTGCAGTCCTCGACTGTGGAAGGGGTCACAGCCATGACCCTGACCTTTCAAGCGACCGTAACCTTCTCAAACTGAGCATATTATGTTGCAGCACACACTTCTGGGGTCCTGTAGCTAATTGGGGAATACCACTGGCCGCCCTGGCCGATATCCGAAAGGATCCCATCATCATTAGTGGCAAAATGACAACTGGTGAGCGAGAAATACTCGAAATACTGAATGATAAATTCAGTGAAAAGCTAATGATAAAGCTATAATCTGTTCGTTATGCTTGAAATTAATGCAAAATCTCTTCTTGCAGCCCTCTGTCTATACTCAACCATCTTCATGAGGTTTGCTTGGATGGTGCAGCCCAGGAATATGCTGCTGTTCGCGTGTCACATGACCAACTTCACTGCCCAAAGCGTCCAAGGCGGTCGTTTCATCCACTATCACTACATGGGCGGCAATAAGAATGCTCCTGAGACGCCACAGGCTGCGCCAGAACCTGCCCAGACGAAGCCAGAAGCTCCTGCGAAGCAGTGAGTCATATGGTGGATTGCTTAAGAAATCTGTGGTGCTACAAGTGAGAAAGCCAAACATATCAGTCAGCACTAATTGACCGAAGACAAATCCCACAACATCTCTTGTAGATTTCAGAAACGCAGCAGGAAAAATATATAGACGGGATGTTTTGTGTTCAGTATCCAGAGACTTCCTACACACAGTAGAGAATAGATCCTGTTGAGGCATAAAGGAAATCACAAATAAAGAGTGTTGTAAATCGACGCGCGCCTTGAAACAATTGAGCGACCGGAGAAAATTTTTCACATTTGGACGTGAAAATTGAACGAGAGTGGACGCTCCCGCATTTGGACGAAAGTTTGGACTGCGCAGAGAGTGCAAAAAGATCTTATAGATCAAGGAAATCCCAGAAGATTGAGAAAAATGGTGCTAATTGGCAAGAATTCCGGTGAGTAGTGATTTTTTTCCTCCTTGCATTTGAGACTCCCAGACTTTTTGCAATATGGATTCCCCGGATAATGAGCGTGACACTTTTTGTCGAGCGCCCCAGAATCAGGCATTATTTGCGCGTCGTCACAGTCTCTCGCCGATAAATTTATTCCCCGATACACCCTGACGAGGGACTCCATGAGCTTCGGGTGTGGATGAGAGACAGAGACACCCGGAGAGTCTTCCCTCTTGAGTCGCTTCCCTGAGAAGTGTCGGCAGAAACGGGTTTGGCCGATGGATGATCTCACGAGGATGCACCCCAGTGTATCCCAGACTAAAGAATCTGCCAAGAAGACAAAAAAATACATATCTCGGGCTCCGCCCTTTTTCCCGTCCACAGCAACTGTGTGATGCATATGAAAAGTGAAAAAGATTTGTGTGCTGACAATTTCCCAAGGCTCACTGCCAGGGCGCACAAGGAGAGAAAATTCTCCTCCTGAAGGTATGGTCACAGTGAATAAAGTGGATGGGAATGAATAGAATGAGGAGGGCTTGTGTCAACCCTTATTCTTCTTCCCCAACACGCACTCATCCGCTTGGCGAGTTTTTAAAACTTGAATCATTTGTAAAAAGCGACTCAGGGCACTTCCAATGCCTTTGCCAGGGCCCCTGAAAAAATCTCCGATGGCTCGCATCCCTTTAAATATTTTACCACCTCTCACCCTCTCTCAGTTCCCATGGACAGTCGCCCTGGACAGCCTGAAGAGGTGCTGTGTGATCCCTCCGGAACCTTGGTGTTTTTCTTACAGGACGCACTCTTTCACCCGTACGGGCTCCTCAGCGCCTCTGTATTGCAGATTGAACAGGTTTTAATTTATTTATTATGGGGTTGTGTGCTTCAACCCCTTGTCTTTCTCAAAATACATGCATTTTTCTCCTGAATATCATCAGATCTGAGACATTTTATACCACTATTTTCATTCTTGGCGTAAGAAAAATCGTCTGTGAATTTCTGGAAATGCCACAAATTCTATTAAACTCTACAATGTGATTCTACATCTCTAACGATCTTATGTACATATTACAAAAAATTTGTATAAAAAGTGTGATAGAGATTCTTAAAGATAAACTGGATGGAATCGGTTATTATTTGTCTTTTATACTTTCCAAAAAACAATGTATATGAAAAATTGGACGGATTTCCATACTAGACATTACTAAATGCTACTCTCATTCTTAGGCAATCTATACTATTAAAACTTGCACTATCTTTTTCGACAGATCATTTTCGTTTTAGGCTCTTGCCAAAATATCCCATCGACTGTCCCACAGTCGAAAAACCCGCGATTTGGGGTGTGGAAAACTTGATGATTGATTGCAAAATCTATCGGATGCGGGAAAATAGGGGCCAGCAGAGTATTAGAATTCCCACAATCAGTTGAAGACCACTGTTAATGGATGAGGCTGCTGCTAAGCGGCACTTGAATAGATCAAAACGAGACTCCTTGTCCACGACAATATTCTGGAATTCGGCCTCCACAAGTTGGCCATCGTAGTAAGTGATGAGATCCTCGTAAGGATACTCAAATCCCTGAAGACACTCGCACTTGTAGCCACCGCTATCGTAGCCTCGGCCCAAAATCGGAACACACTGAAAATGGAACGTAACATTATTTTAAAATCGCATTGATAGAACTCATAAACTCACATAGGATGTCTTCTCGTCACATTTGTGGGTGTTCTTAAAGGCGTTTGGTGTGTAATAATCATCCGGACACTGGTTGATGTCCAACTGAAGCATGTCCATTGATACAGCAACAACACCCCTGAAATAATCCTTGCTTTAGCATCCCGAAACATTCAGAGTTTGATGGCCAAACACTTACTTAAATTCTAGTTTCACTTTGATGCTGTCCCAGCCGAAGAACGGCGCCATGTAAGACACCAACCATTTCTTCACCAGTCCATTGCAGTCGAATTGCGGAGCAGTCCAGTATCCGTGATCCATGTTTCCGGCATAGTAGTGAGTGGGATAGCGTTCGTACTTCTGCAGATGCTCTCCGGATTCATTGTATCGAACCTTCATTTTGATGTGGAACTTCTCGAGGGCGTCGAAGTTTGTGGACCAGCGTTGCTTGAGGAATCTGAACCATTGCTTGCCGGTGTAGAGTTCCTCAGTTTTGTTGAGTCTGGCCAGATCTTCAACTTTGAACTTGCGCGTGTTGAGCTCCTTCTTGTAGGCGAATGGGGCGAAGTAGGTGCGATTGGTGAACTTCTTGCGATCCCAGTAGGTTCCGGCTGACCAAACGCGGTTGTTGCCCAGAACAAGAGCCAGAGTTTCGCCGATCATTTGATCCTCTGTCAGCGGTTTGTCTGCTACCTTCTTGCCAGAATACACTTCATTGGGGTCGGAGACTTGAAGGAAGGCACTAATAAAGTTGGCCAATCTCACAGCCATTCTCGCCTCATTGGCGAATTGTTTCTTCACTCCATGAGCCACATCTCCCGGCAGGATGAGATCCTGAGGATGGAAGCTGAAAGAGGGATATAAATTAGCACGTCTTGAGAGATATTAAATTTCATATTGCATACTTTTTGCAAGAATTCTCATTAACTCCACGAATAAATCTGAGCGCCTCGTCGATATTCATCTTCTCGACGTGCATAGAACTGGCACCAGTGGAGTAATTTCTGTACTCGTAGTATCGATCCAGATATTTCTCACGGATGTGATATGGCGCTCGTTCCCACTGAATTGGCACTTTGTGCACCCATCCAATTTTGAGACAATCGAATCCAGTGTAGTACTGCTCTGAGGAAGCTCTCTCGAGGATTTCGCCCAGATACGGCCGCCTAATGACACTGGGTAGTCGGAAGCCCGGCTTACAGCGACACTGATAGCCTCCTCTTCTGAATCCCCAGCCATCCATAGGTTCACACTGTGGATGAGGAAATTTGCCATAGGGGTTAAAAAGTCATGCAATATTTCACAGATTTTTCTCAGATTTTTATGGGGGTTAAAACTCACTTCAGTTGTCTCCTTTTTACATCTCGCTGTGTCGGCAAATCGATTCGGTCCTCTATTACCCTCTCCTTTGGGACATTGATTAATGTCTATCCTATCCAAGTCCATTTCGAGCACGGAAATCGCGGTGTATCTATTAATAAAGAGGTCATTAATATCCTTCTGAACAGTTCTTTCGCGAGAGTGCACGAGAAATCTCACTTGGGATATTCAATGTGCCGGAATTGGGTATGACGAGGATAGATGTCGGCGATGGGCACAACTGCAGCTACGAGCCATTTGTTGGAGCGTCCGCAGTCGAAGTAGGGCCGTGTCCACTTCACGGGTCCGGGAACTTCGTCGGCTCCCGGCGGGCCGTGGAAGGTGAAAGTCTCATTGGTGTTGTTGGCATATCGAATTTCCACTTGATAAGTTGTCTTTGTGTCGTGCCTCTGATCGACTTCGTCGGGGAGCCAGAGTTTGTACCACTCGTTGATCTTGTAGAATTCCGTGGTGTAGTCGAGGGAGAAGGAGCCGGCTGGAACGGCTCCTAAATCTCTTATATCGAATGTGTTCATTGTGGAGATTTTCTGGAGATGAATTGGGTCATTGAAGTCATCCAGGCGGAATGCTCGCGGCGCGAAGAGAGGGAAGGTCTTGTTGAAGAATCCTCTGTATGATGAGGTGAAGGAGTTGTTGGGCGAGAAGTACACCGCCGAGGCGTTGATGTAGGGATTGGCTGACACGTCGGCGACCGTTGAGAGGAAGTAGTACATCATTCCTGGATCGTACGTGTCATTGATGGCGGGACGGATGAAGCGACTCTGGAGGATGTAGCTCCAGAAGAAGGACCTACTCAGGGCCATGTTGTGCAGGTGCAGGAGATTCGTTCGATTGGGGAAGATGGGATTAATGTTGACCTCCTTGATGTCCGGCAGATGGGATACGACATCGTCGTAGAGATACAGGTCGCCCAAGTGCTGAATAGGACAATTGTCCGCGGTGACTCTATCAATTTTCCTCTTAACAGCGTCAAATTCGTCTTTGGGCTGCCACTCGTACTGGGCGATCACACCCATTGCCATGAGTATGGCAAAGGTGGCATAACTTTTCCACAGAATTCGGTAACTTGCCATTCTGGCGAACGATTCACCCTTTGCGGTGCACTGCAGAGGGACGCGGGAACACAATTTTTTGTACTTTTGCACAGAAAAACCACAGTATTTTTGATAAAACAATTTCCCTGTACACGCCTATATGGCAGCCATTTGTTTTCATTAATGTACAACTCACACGAATTCGTCGGACTGACTCAATCAGCACCAACACACTGGGAAATGCCTCAGAATGGTAAGTCTGCAGGTTGTTGCGTTGCCCGCATTGAGGGAGCCCGTGTGTGTCCAGCCATGTCTCTCTGCCATTGAGAAGCGTGTGGAATTGCTGGAGATGTTGCTTGTGTGGGTCGCCGATTCCCAATACAACAGCACTTTCTAATGCTTCCCCATTGTCTACCTGTGTGTGGCACCTGCGAACTCCGGTCGGACTTACCTGGTTATCGACATTTGAATTTGGCGGGACACAGTAATCGATTATCATTGCTCTGTCTATGGCAACGAGGGCAGGAAGAAGTTGAGAAACACTCTCTAGAATCAGAAAGAAATGGCAAAGAAAAGATTTTGATAAATTTATGATAATAAAGAGAGAAAAGTTTGTTATTGAATTTTTTTTCTCAATGATTTCATTAACTCTTGTCAATGAATTCAGTAATTTGTTCATGATTTTCATGGAGAGATTGCATTCAAATTTGGAAATAATAAGCCCCTCAATTTTGTTTCACTTGAATGTGGTGACGAAAGGTCTCTATGCAAGAAGCGTGGTATTCTTGTGGGGTTTTGCTCCGGAATGGAGGCAATTCTAGTTTTTGGAGTCGTCTGAACTCCAATTCGATATCGACTGGCTTTAATTTTGTATTGACAACTTGAGTTTTAAACTGCCAATATGTATGTACATATATGAAAACATAGACAAGTGCGGCAAGTGTTATTCCAAAAGTAAAAACCAGCTATAAAGAGACAACACAAGAGGAAACATATGTAATGCTTTTTTGTAGTTAAATTCTATTCGTCTCAAGTTGTATTCCTGAAAAAAAATCTGTCCATATATGGTTTTTCTTAAGTCACCCCTTTGCAATCAAGTCTTATTCAAGGGTTCTTTTCGGGCCCTGATATGTGAGTCAGTCACAGAGTTTTTTTCCTCAATTTCGGCGCGTCCTGTGCGTCCAATCAGACCCAGAAAGTCCAGACCCAGTTGCCAAAGGTGCAGAAAAAAACGTCCCTCCACCTTTCATTGGCATCTCCTGGGCTGGTGTCACGCAAGACTGGTTTGTTCCTCAACACTTGCGTAACATTCTTGTAGCGCATTTTTTCTCAATTTTTCCTGTGTTTATTATGTTACAATAATTTGGCGCTGTGGTCAATTTTCGAGAGCCATGTATGCATCAATATAAAAAAGAAATTGTTGCATATTTTGTCTCCTGCAGAAGGAGGTGTGTGAGAGAGAGAGAGGGTGGAGGAAGTGTCGAATGAGGAAGAATGCACAAGACATGTTGGGGGAAGTGAAGATGGTTGAGCGAAGGGGAGTTGTTGCAACAGAAGCCTTTGGAAGACATAAATTACCATGTTCATCTTTAAATATTTTAGATTGCAAGAGATAGATATGGGCGAAAATGCTCATAATTGTATTCGAAAAGGAGTATTTCTATGCTGAACCACAAAAGAAAAGAGAATGTATTTCTTTGGGGCTTTATAACTCTGTTATAAGAATATTTATCGACCATGACCTTCTTTCTTTGCGTTTGATGTTTGTCTTTAGCTCTATGCAGTTCTTTTCCCCCGCGTGCAAATATTCCATGTCGCTCGTCTTTTATATCATTCCCGGGGATGAGATATAAGGAGAGATAATGAAAGGGCACATTTCAAAAGTGTTGTGTTTTTCCCTCTTCCCAAATTTCCTATGATGATGCGAGCGTGTTTTCAATTCTTCGTTTCTTGGAAGTTATGGTGCTTTTCGCCAAAACATTATCTTAACTAAGTAAAGAATGTTCTGGAAACATCTGTGAAATTTATAGCTATTCTTGCACTATATATCAGAGAAAGAATAGGGAGACTTGAATGAGGAGGAAAATCTTGGCAGACGCAACATTGTAAGACGTAAATTATAGTATCTAACTTTAAATTATCATTTGAATTAAACGTGAGAAGTAGATAATTGTCGTACAAGGAGTAATTATCCAACAGGGTTGGCAGAAGAGTCTTCTTCTTATAAAGGACAGAGGCAGAAAACATTGCCAATGCCTGAAGACAGAATAAATTAGTGACATAATGAATTGAAAGGGTGTTGCAATAATGGGAGAAAATGATGGTGTATGTTGCAAAAGTGCAAAAACGCATGTTTAACTTAAAATACAAATTTCAGCAGCATTCAGAATCACTCTATGTAGCATTTAATACGCGATATATTTTTGCACCTATGCTATGTGATCTGCTAATGTGCAGAGAAGAGAAAAAAAAGATGTTTCGTCTGCGATGATCATGAGAGATGCGAACACAATTTTAGAACCAGCGATTTGCCTTAATTGTTTTTATATGACGCGGCTGTCTGGACCGAAAGATTAAAGACCTCTATGGCAAACATTCTCGCATATTATTATATTAATAGCGTCTACCACCGAAAATTCAATGACATTCACAACAACGCGCGGCGCAAGCAACGCCAACAACCACAGCAAAATTGCATACTCACCCGAAATACTGTCGCGAGTGGCGAATTTCAGAAAGAAAAGAAGGCCGAAAAAACAGACGATAAAGAATACAACAAATTTTGCAAATAAACCACATCATCTCCGTACGGCTAAATTTTCTGTGTACACACGCACGGGAGTGTGAATAAGAAATATAATGTTCCGTGTGGGAAATAAATTGATATTTTATTTTTGCCTCACGCAAATACATATATATGTAGCATTGCTATATTGCACGGCGATTTTTTGCAATGTACAATTTACAATGCTGATGACTAAATGATTCTGAGTTAACTCTTGCGACTCTTTGTGATTTTCGTGGACCGATTTGTGTCTCAATTGTAGGCAAATATTGATAAATCTTTGATAAAAAATTAGAAACGCGAATTAAATTAAGGTGCAGAATAAGTTAAAGATGCTGTTAATTTCTTTTTGAAAATGTAGCATCACATTTTAATACGCGGCGTGTGCTTTGTCCGACTATACACACCTTTAAAATGCATTTTCCGTTACTTTATGGCGGTTTTTTCCTGAAATGATGAAGCAACAATATCAAGAGCAATATTCGCTACTGAAAAAGGGTGCTTAAGCTCATCTATTTCCCACGTGAAATAGGATAATAGGAAATTAGCAATGCAGCAAGAAGGATGTTTGGATAACAACGAGAACAAAGGATATTTTCCATACAAAAGAATTTGTCTATTCATAATATCACTGGCGAAATCTGGATGAAAAATTCTCACTCTCCAGAATTTGCATATAAACTATGACTTGCGCGTCTAGGAATTAAAATGCGTATAGCAAAGGAGCAGCTTTCAATTGATAGGGTTGGCAAAAAAATTGCATTGCAATGATGCATTCACCTCTTCTATTCATACGCGCGATGCAATATTGTGCATTTCCCACGTGTGGAAAATTGAGTGGTACCCCTTTGAGACGTTCCAGGGTGAATAAAATTGTTCGTTTGTGCGGCTATATAGGCATTTTGTATATGTAGAAATTTGTTTTATTGAAATGGAGACGGCGACAACGCATATCCTGTTCATGACATTCCCGGCCAATATTCTTCTCTCACTCCTGTATACTGCATTTTATTGTGAAATGAAGGCATATGTATATAAAAAGTCCTCTTTGACAACAATTGGTCTCGGGAAGAATTGTTCCTTGCGGCTCTCTTGCCGTTCGCTCTCTTCCTCCATTATGCATGTACATATTACACGCTTTTGATATGCGCCATGGAGAGAAGAATTTTTCTTGCATTTGATTCATAATTTACTGTGAAAAGGAAGAGGGATATTTTAAATTGGTATCCTCACTGGAGTGCTTGAGCCATGTGCATGTCGTGCATTCGGAAAAGTCGTAGTGCAAAGGAATAGAGAGAGTCACAATAATATGTTATGCTTTTATTGTTTCGTGTCCTGTAATTCTATATAGTGTAATTACAGAGTTTGCAGGCACAGGAAAAATTAACGACAGAGAATTTTAAATTTAGATTATACTATGAAATGTTTAATTGCTGCTAACGAAAAAGGAGATTTTAAGCAGAATTTTTTTTAATTATTATTATTTATTGAATTCAGTCCAGGCACATTTTTCCATATTGTGCTGTGTAATTTCAGAGCTTTTAAAAATGTTTATTGGAGATTATCCCATGTTGGATTGCATGTTTATAATAAAAATTTGGCAAAGATCTCTATTTTGAAATGAGCTTCGTTAAATTGTACAAATGGCTCCATATCGTTTCTGTACGAGTGCATATAACAAATGGCTCTTTTTCGCATTTTCATATCTTTGAAATTTATTCTATTACCCGTGCCTTGAAGCGTTCCCAAGCGGAAGTAGAGGATGTACAAAGAATGGCACAAGAGAGAGTGTATGACAATGAGGTGTGAGAAAGTAATTTCCAAGGGATTTTGAACTTTCTGTTTAATTCATGGCGGATAGATAAAGAGAGAATGTTCTAAAGCAAATTTCTCTATTCTTTTGCTGGTGCGCCTTTCTCTCCTTTATCTTGTTTGGTTATTCATGAGATGGGAAAAATGAGCAAAAACCATACATTTATTATATGTAGACTTCGCAGTGAATAAAAGAGCGACAAAAGTGCATTGGCCATCACCATGCGGCTTATCTCGCAAAGTCAGTACTTTTTTTCTCTTTGTACAACATTGAATTGAGTCTATCGCTTTATGAGTTTATTTGAAAAATATACAAAGTTGAGTTTGTGCTAATTTTTCCTCGTCTTTTTCCTTTAATATACTAATTGAATGAAATTAATACAAGCGGAGTTTTGTATGGTTTTTATTGTGCGGAAGAGTCTGTTCTCTTGCCTTGTGCAATGAAAGTCTGGGCGATATTATTGCATCTGCGCAAATGCCGCGAAATTCACAGTGCATTGTGCAAAATGTAAGTTTACGCTGTGTGGCATATGTATGGTGGTTTATTTTGTTGCATGGCTGTCTATATGTATTTCGTAAAGAAAGCATTTTGTGTGAGAAGATTCTGATGAG